CGCCCCACACTGAGCCTTTCACGCTCTCACTATCGCAGATCTGCGTTGAATTTGCAACCCGGAGGCTCAGTGTTTCCACTGGTATTTGCACAAGCGATGTCGCATTATGTAACGCACACATGACCACGTGTGCCCCCCAGGTTTATTTTTCTACCGTTAATAATAGGACCTTTCTGTCAGATTTGATGTTTTTTTTTCCCCCTCGACTCGGGAGTTTGAGAAATAAAAGTGCACCACAACAGCTGTAGGGATTTGTGGCTAAAGTGGTCAGCTGGGAAAAGTATTTAAATGTGTCTAGAAAACACTGACAGGGTGGAATGTGAATGGACAAAGTCCCAGACGCTCTGAGTTACTGAATTATTTTCCTGTACCGGGAACACAAACCTGGCATGTGTTTTAAAAAAAGAAAAAAAGACCAGCGGTGCGGACGTGGAAGGAAGCAGAGTTTGAAACTGGGACCCCAGCAGAGGGGATGGAGCCAGAGGCTCCGAGGAGGAAGCCCGCTCTCTGGACTCAAACTGTTCCAGGAAGTCGGGATGCTTGTGTGTCAGAGAGGTTTATGTCTGCGTGCTGTTGTGTGTGTGTGTGTGTGTGTGTGTCATGTTTTGACGCTCAGCTATCGATATTATTCAACATTTACAGGCGGCGCTCCAATTAATGTCTCTGTCCCTCTGTGATGAGGTTGTCATGGCAACGGTTTCATTTATTCAGCTGACAGTCCTCACGGCCGTCCCTGAGACAATGTCAAAATAAGTGTGTGTGTGTGTGTGTGTGTGTGTGTGTGTGTGTGTGTGTGTGTGTGTGTGTGCGCAATCCAAAATCAAGAGGATGGCAGGAATAATGGAGGTGGCGTAGGCGGCGGGGGGGGAAATTCCACTGATTTGACGAGAAACTACTACAACCACCGCTTGGGACAGTTGCTTTCAATTCAGATAACAAGAAGAATGTCTTCATCAGCCAATCAGGGGCCAGCTGCAGGGGGGTAGGAAACGCCATACGCGAACAGCGGAAGACATTCCCAGCTGCTAGCGGCATGTGTGCATTACTCTTTGCCTTTAGGTGCAGCATGCTGGCGTTTTGCAGCATGAATGTGTTCTTCAGACGGTGTGTGTGTGTGTGTGTGTGTGTGTGTGTGTGTGTGTGTGCATGTGTTGCTTGTGCAGTGTGCTAGTACTGTGGATTGTATTCCCCAACAGGTGGTAGATGTGCACCTCTTGTTCTGCTCGACCAAGACACAAAATGATGAAATCGGTTGGCACCGTCAAGGTTTTAGTTAACTATCGATGAGAGGGCGATGGAAAATCCTAAAGTGTTTTATATATATATATATATATATATATTTAATTAATTAATTAAACAACTGCGATCGAGTCATCTAAATCCGTTACAGCAGGTCCTTCATGTGCTATACACATTTAGCGTTACTCAGCAACAGCACAAGAAAGCCAGTTGAAGAGCGACTTCACAGCATTGCAGAGCCTTTTTTTAAACGTGTGTGTTTTTCCCAGAGCAGTGTGTCTTGTCTTTGATGAGGAGTGACTCTTTCTGGTGTCCGGCTACTCTCTCCCTACGGGCCCGCCTCCGTTGTCTGCTGCAGCAGTGATGCATCATGTTAAAAACGGTGTGAGCCCACTGCAGCAGACCACCTGAGCCCCGTGTGTGTGTGTGTGTGTGTGTGTGTGTGTGTGTGTGTGTGTGCCTCTGTGTGCACATGGAGGTGTGTAACCCAGCCTCCCAAAGGCAGGGACAAGACTATTGATTTCACGTTTGGAGTACTGCCCTGGAGGAAGCAGGGGAGGCGGACACACCCTCGGTCGGTGTGTGTGTGTGTGTGTTTGGCGTGCGGCGGAGAGAGGGTGTGGCCACTGCCAGAAGAAGGGAAAGGGAAGCAAATAAGACGAGAACAGACGGATCCACCCTTGTGTGCTGCTCAAATTGAAAACACGACGCCGAAAACCGTCCGCGGTGCGGGGGCCCCTCCGCGTGGAAATGTGCACGTGTGTTGCCGTGGCGACGGCCGCTCAAACCGATGCCACGGCAGCTGATGTTCGGCTCACTCCCGATGCCGCCCACACCAGTGTGACCGTGCGCTTTCACACTCCCTCTCGCTCCCTGCTTTCAGTTTGGCCCACTCTTTCTGTCTTGCCCTCCCTCCCCCCCTTCCCACCTCTTTCCTACTCACTCTCCATCTGTCCACCTCTGACACCACCCTCATCCTCTTCCTCCCTCCCGGTCCCCGGCCCCTTTCTTTGCCCTTTTTCCTAATTGGCCGTATAAGCCAGGAGTGTTGCGCCGTGCTTCAGTGAGCTTGAGTGTGTTCTGTCCCTCTGTTGTGCTTGACTAATGACACTGAAGCAGTTTGTTTTGGCCATAAGGGCCTCCCCTTTATTCACCATCTAATGGACGGCTCCCTCCCGCCATCATTGTACCTATTCATTGTCCCCTCCGTCCCTCCCCCGCGCCTCGACGCTGGCCTCTGCCGCCTCCTTCCCTTCAATGCTCTCTCCCCTCTGTTATGGTGAAGAATCATAGAAAGAAACTTAATATTTTAGCTCTGGCATTCTGGTGAATATACCGGTATCGAGTGCATTCATATAGGTGTCGGATCTGCATTCTCTTCATTATCTTGATTTTAATTTTGAGGGGGTATTGATGCCAAACCGGGATAAAGAACTGCTGGAACTCTTCAAATGTCATCTGTTCATGGTATTCAAGTGTATACGTGGAAAGTTCTGTTTCTCACCCATTTTCTATTCCTCTCCCGATTTTAAAACCTAATCACTATCATTAATCCTTTGACCTTTGGAGGATGCATTCACCCTACGTATGATGATATTACGTCACTTTGAGCGTCACACTTGCAAAAACGTGTGTATCTGTTCTCGTTGGCTCCTCTCCCGCTGTAACATCTGTTAACCACAGACTGCGCTGGAAACACGAGCCCTGAAATAACCATTACTACATGCACGCACATCTACCACGAGATCGCTTTATCATCGGGACTGAAACCTTTTGATATCCGCAGTCAAACGGCTGTCCAGTTACACACACAAACACACACATAAGACGGGTTACAAAGTGTGTGTTACCCTATAGACGGTTTCACTTTGACACAGGACGTCATTTCAATATCTTGACACTCAGGTTTGTGTTTTATGTCTAGATTTTATGGCCCCGGTGACGATCGGACACGCGGGTGAGTAAGTGGTGATTCACAGTCTGTCGGGCTAGGGGCGGCGCTCACACCAGAGGATTGGTTCACATGAGCAGGGAGGAGGAAAACCGGTTAATGTAGCCGTTTTTTATTTTATGTCATGCCAGGGAAAATTCTGCCATGTTAAATTAATGCATAGGCTGTTAAGTTAATTGAAAATCATTCATTTTAACATGATATTTATGTTCAGTTACACTGATTTTTATCCAGGCATGGAAGTGAATCTCTATGGTGATGAGATACTGGCACTTTCATTTACATAACCGGTGTCTTTGTTATTAAAATATGTCCCGTAGCTATGAGGTGCCTACTCGCGCACGACGGCCCTGCAATCACCCAATAATCACACTGCTTCCCCTTCAAAATAAGGCTGCAGTCTCTCCTGCTGTTTTGTTTACCCCCCCCCCATCTATTCCTAGCCACCAGTATGCTAAATGTTTTCCTTGTTCCCTCTGTTGGAGCTTTGTCTGCATCTTGCCCCCTGTGGTCTCCCCTCAGTACGAGTGCTTGTGTCCCACTAAACTCTCATGAATTCCCCCTCGACATTCGCAGCCGAGCTCCTCGGCTCAAAAGCCCGATAAAAGCTCAGAGTTTCTGTAACTGCTTTGCTGATTTCCCCCTGCCCGGTCCTCCTCCGTTCCCTTTCTCCTTGGGTTTAGTTTGCTTTGGTGGGATTATGTGACGCGTCAAGAATATATTTAGAATGAAGGTGTCTGATATTTGCAAGTTATTTTCGCACGGATCAATGGAGAGGAAAAAGCTGGAAGGGCTCGGCGGCTTTGGAAGTTTGTGTCTAATCCCATGTTTCTGAAGGAGATCCGAAGGGTGTGGTCCTCGCTTGCGTTAACCTTCAAGGTCCTATAGTGCAACGCAAACTCAGGTAGTCAGTGTTTGGTCCAAAAATAGTGTGTTTAGAAGTGCTCGATGAAACACTGACACTGGTCATCGCAGCACGAGTATCTGGCCACAATAGTGTTTACGCAGCAACAGTCATGGTCCACATCCCAGCCCTCCCATTTCCTGTCTGATGGAAATACGAAAGGCTTTCATTTGTTCCTTAAACATCGGAGGAAATTCATGTCCGAATGCCAGAACACAACAGGTGGCACTTTAACAGGTGATGATTTGTGTGTGTATTGTTGCATCGATCTTCTTCTTTTTAAATTGTATGGATTCAATTACTGGTTTCACAAAAATGTCTCGAAGCCTCTAGCTGGTGTGCTGACCCGTCTGTGTACCAAACTCCGCTAAACGTGAACCGGATGACATGGTTACGAATGAGCGAGCCACGGAGACCTAAGCTGACCTATGATGTCATGTTGCACCACGCCCAAGTACTTTCCCTTCGGCCTTTTTTCCTCCTCCCCTCTCTTTCTCGCCATTCGTTCCAGATCTTGTTTCAGGGTGGAGGTTTGCACAAATTGACTGTGTAAGGTTTGCGTAGTCTTTGGGAGCGTGTGCCCAAAACTTGTTTTCTATTCATATTCAGACGGTTCCGCGTCGTTTCAGAGTTGGTCGATGGGAGTAGGAACTATTGAAGGCTCTTCTTTGTTCAGCGACTTTACATCTAGTTTTCATAGAGCTCCCTTTTCCAATCCTCTCGACACTCTGTTATGTGAGCGACTTAGTCTAAAGATAGACCAGTCCTCCTCCGCCTCAGCACCGGAAGCTGTGCTGCTCTTGTCTCTGAGATTTAGAGGGATCCGATTTCCCAGAACACACTTTTCATCTTCGCCTTTATTCCTCACCTGCCGACGCTGCAGCATCGACGGAAACTGTGTTTAACCGAGAGAGAACGAAAGAACGAGAGAGAACGAGAACCAAGGCTGCAGGGGTGGATTCCACTGGGCGGACCTTTTAACCTTTGACCCCGGACCTCTGAGCAAACGAACCCTCACAGGAGCCAGATGAGTGCTGGTCACGCTCATACAAGCGAGAGGGGCCGTGCAGTATTGGTGAGGGAGAAGGCCAAGGCCATTGTGTGCTTTGCGATCATGTGTAGTAGGAGTGCATTTGCACACACACACACACACACACACACACACACACACACACACACACACACACACACACACACACACACACACACACAACTTCCACCCATCTTCCTCTCTGCAAGTCATGCTCCATAAGCTTAAAAGCAGGGCCTCAGGTGGTAATTCACTTAAACCTGCAGTGGATGATTCCTTTGGAGTGAGCGCTGCTGAGCTATTTTCAAAGTGCTCTTTGTTTTTGTCATTTTTCCGTCTTTTTATATTAATATTGTGGCTTGACACTGTGTGAATATGTGTGTTTTGAGCCGTTGTGACGGCCCTCAGGCTCATTGCTGTTTAAACACAGCTGTTTCTTTTAAGCCGCGCTGCAGTCCGACTCATTTCCTGCTTCTGTATTTACATATGAAAGCACCACTCGCAGTATTGGCAAATGTCAACGCGAGCTCATTTGATTTGAGCCATTATCTCCTGCTGCCTGCCCCCGGCCAGCCATGTCACTCCTTAACGCGAGGTACTCCACTCTGGTCCCACTGGAACCCCCGAACAGATATGACTGTGTGGCACATTTCAGGGTCTCCACATGGAGAAATTATTGCTCCATATAATCTAAATGACGCCTAACTGTTGTATATACTGCCTGTAAACGACCTGGACCCCCCCCACCCCAATCTCCCCAATAAGTGTCAGAGGACAGCTGCTGTTTCCTGTCAAAAACAGGCCATAAGGGGAAATTAGGAATTCTGCACATTCTGGCCATTTCCTGTTCGGACTCCCACACACGTTCATGATTGCATGGTTAGCATTTCTTACACACACACACACACACACACACACACTTGATGGACTTGTTTCTTTCATGACAAGATGACAACTCCATGTGTGTTTGATATTCTCGCCAAAGCAGGAAGCTATCCATCATCAACACTGTAATGGACACGTGTATACACACACACACACACATTAGAGGCGGCTCAGAAGCAGACTGGGGGAGAATGTTTTGTTCAAGCACCGCATACAGTGACTTAAAGGAGCAGAACATGTGTGCAGTCAGGAATGTGATGGCTTCTGAAACGAGCGCCCCTCGACTTGTGTGTGTTTTTGTGTTTAGCTTTTCAATGCCGCAGCCGTCATAATCCTGTTTGCTTTGCCAAACGCAGCGTGTCTTATTGCCAGCTTTTATCGCCTCCGAAGAACAACGTCATCACTTTCTGATTGCTCTCAAGGACTCTGTGTAACCACAAAGGGTTAAACACACACCAAAACACACACACACACACACACACACACACACACACAAACACATTTTTCTGGATCAAACATGGGGTCGTCGGAGGGGTTAATCCCGGTTTTCCCGGTGCCCACTGGTGACTGACGCCACACAGTGTGGTTAACAGGAGGGAGTGACGCATCCTGAAGACATCAATGGGGGAAACTGGACTGTACCAATGCCAGGGCTGTCTTAAGTGGGCCAGTATCTCGTCAGGCTGTACTGATTTGACGTTATTGGCTATCCAGGCGTGACTCAGCAGTGCTTCCCTTCCACTGGAGGTCAAAATTCTCTCCTGTGGATGAGAGCTGGCATTCATGTGTCTTTATTCATCCCGCGGGTTGGGTAATATCCGATTGTTTAAACAGTTTGAGGGCCCAGCTGACCTAGAAATTATATAAAGGAAGGGGGAGGCACGTCAGCAGTTATTGATGCAACATATTGGACTCATTTTCTGATTTCTGAGGTCTTAACTGCAATCCTGCGTCTGCCAGATTTCCAACACTGGAAAAGGGTTGGGCAGTTCTTGTCTCTTGTATTCAGGCCATTTTATTTGAGTCCTGCGGTTGGTGTCGCCTTTTAGTGTTCTTATGTCCTACATTTCAAGATGCCTTTCAGAGGCCATCAACCGTTATGTTGCAATACTGGAGATATGGGCTGCTGGAACCGAGTCAACCAGACACACTGCTTAATGTTGCAGTTCCACCACTTCCCTTTGTGTCCAGCAGAGGGAGCTCTGTCATCACCTTTTGCCACAACTGGGTCCTTGCAACCGGCACAGTGCGCCTCCCTTCACTCGCACGGCGCCATATTGACATTAAAAGCCACCTGCTTGTGTTTTTTTAAGTGTGCTTTGGTTCAATCCTTCACCACTGTCCAATCGTGTGCACCACTGGAATAGTGGCTTCACTGCAGGTTTATAGAATTCCAAAGGAGCTCAGCACGTCGATATTAGGCACTGTTGGATGGCGCTCGGCTCCCCCAGTCCTCCGTCAACATTCCTTTCTTTCGGTTCCCTAACTGGAAATAGAGAAAAGGCACACAAGACGCTAAGGTGCCCTCCACCGATCAGACTGCACAGGGTGCCCGCTAGGGGTCCATGAGCAGTTGTCATGGTAACAGGCAGTGAGGTCTGCATGAGCTGAGCTGAAGTTGTTTTTTTTTTTCTCTCTCAGATGATTTCTCATATGTTGGTGTGATCTGACAGTGTGCGAATTTGAATAAAGGTATGTAATCACCCACCTCTGTTTTTGCGTGTGTAGATGGAGCAGGTATCAGACGATGAGCTGGACCACGGAGCGGAGGAGGACAGCGATAAGGAGGACCAGGACCTGGACAAGATGTTTGGAGATTGGCTTGGCGAGCTGGACAAGCTGACACAGGTTAACACACACAAACGCACAAAACAAAGAATTGTTTGCTAGATAGGTACACACTCACACAGGTAGAGGAGCAGGGAGAAAAGGGCTGTATCCATAGCAACCTTAACACTGCTAATCCTGTCCCTTTACTGTAACCTAGCAACTCCCCTCCCGTAACATGTATTTGTGCGGGTTAGCGTGTGTGTGAGTAACACGCGAGCAGGCAGACGTGGTTGCTTGGAACCGGTGCTTTGCCTGTGGGGTCAGAATGTGTGTGGTTTTTGCATATGTGCATCTCATGCTTTGCCTGTGTGTGTGTGTGTGTGTGTGTGTGCCTGCTCTGCAGAGTCTGGATGATGGCAAACCTCAGAAACCGCTGCAGAAGCCTCCTCTCAGGCAGGAGACGAACATGGCCAACTTCTCCTACCGCTTCTCTATGTACAACATAAACGGTGAGTCTTCAATATTTCACAGCACAGATCCCCCCTCCCCCGGAGAAAGAAATCACATGACCCATCCCCCCGTCTCTGTGCTTATCTTAACTCCCTGCAGAGGCGTTGAATCAGGGCGACACGGTGGACCTGGATGCTCTGATGGCCGACCTGTGCACCATTGAACAGGAGCTCAACACCATTTCCAAACCAAACTCTTCATCTCGCGGCCAGAACAAAGGCCAGCAGCGGGGCCCTGGGGGGCGCAGTGCCAGCACCAAGCACACAGGCACCAGTGGGGGAGGAAGCAGTGGAGGTAGTCCAGCTGAACCATTTGCCTCTACAATGGTGCTTCTTGTAGTATTTTAGCAACTATAGAAACCATTACTCCGGCCATAAAAACGATGATGATCTCCGTGGCTGCGTGGCTTCAATACAATAGCCATATGTGTGTGTGATAATGTGTATTGATATTGCATTCATTTTGAAAAAGCATCGTCACACACCATTTAGAAAGCGGCTCCTCTGAGCTGTCCTCGTCTCCCCCGACAGGGAGCACCAGTAGCAGTACCCGCGCCTCGCCGGCCAACACCGTGCGCGGCGGCAGCCTCAACGCCCGGCCCGCAGCCTCCAACATCTCCCTGGATGACATCACCTCCCAGCTGGAGAAGGCCTCTCTCAGCATGGACGAAGCGGCGCGCCAGACCTCCTCATCCTCTTCCTCGTCCTCGTCCTCCTCTTTCTCCTCCGCCACGCTGCGGCGGCCCTCGTCGGGGTCGTCCGGCGGCGGGCAGCACAGGCGGACGGGCTCGGTGGGCGCGGTCAGCGAGCAGGAAGCTCCGTCCCAGCGGTCCAGCGTGAATTCGGCGTGCGCGTCGGCGTCCAGCATGGACTCGCTGGACATTGACAAAGTGATGGCAGGTGGAGAGGTGGAGGCCCAGAGCGGCCCGAGCACACAGGGTCAGAACCAGACCAGCACGGAGGTACGGCCGACACGGAAACACCCCCCCCCCCGTACACACGCACACAGACACGCACAGAAAAACCTATCCATATCCCAGAGGCAGACGTGCTTTTCTCGGCTAATGAAAAGGTGTGTGTGTGAAAGATTGCGCGTACATTTCCACACGTAATGGCAAGGTAAGCGCTTTCCTGCATGTTTAACCAAACAGCATGACGCCCGGCAGGAAGCGCATGCTGAGAGTGGATCCACGACACGGATGCGTATTGTGGATCCGGTGGTGTGTTCACGGACACACTGTAATCTCCTCTGAGACTCGCTTATGTGTGGATTACAATGTTAACATTCTGAACTCTTTTGCTCACTCCCCGAGCAAAAGGTTCCGAGCTGATGTACTAAAACACATACGTATGTTTAGGCGCCACAGCTAGAGAAAGGACGCCGGGACAGAGAGGTTGTATTTCAGCTCTGAAGGAGAAGTTAGCATGCACCTCCCCTGCCCCCCTACCCCCCTACCCCTCTACCCCCCTAACCTCCCCCTCCCCCTGCATGTCATCACGTTATCTGTGTTTGCATCCTTTCCTATATCTGTGGTCCCTACCCACACACACACCTTGCCTGCACCTCCTGACATTCCCAGCATGTCACACTGCGACGGGCCAGACGGCAGCTTGACTTCAACTCGCGGGAGGGGGAAGTGGATCGGGCCACTGTAAGTGTGTGTGTGAGCGAGCGCATGCATGTGTGCACAAATGTGTTTTTTTGCATTGGCCCATGTAATGTGTATCATTTAAGTCCCCACCGACAAAGAAATGTCGGGCCTTTTGTTTTTGTTTAATGCATGCACCTGTCAGTGGTAAGTGTGTGTGTGGCGTGAAAGAGGAATCGTGGTGTTGTAGATGAGCTAGAATGCACAGTAGACCACAGGTCCACACATACACACAACATATTGCAGTCACGTTTGCTCTGTGCACATCTCCGGTACTTACTCACAGCCACCGCTTCCATGCCCACATCCACCACGGCCGCTGAGCGCTCCCTTCACGGGAACCTTCCCACGCTTCCACACTTCTTCAGACCAGAACACCTGCGGTTAATAAGCCCTCCAAGAATCACCCGGCACTGACTTCTCTATTTTTTCTGTTCCTCTGCCCTCATCTTTATCCTCTCCTCACCCAAGCACTCCTATCTGGACCGAGAAACCTCGCTCATTCTGAAAAGCATAGCAGGAAAGCCTTCTCACCTCCTGACCAAGGTGACTTCCTCAAACACTCGCTTCTTTGTTTTGATTTTACTCTTGTTTGTGTGTGTGTGTGTGTGTGTGTGTGTGTGGGTGTTAGTGCGTGCACGGCTCCTCTTTTCAGCTTTGCATAGAAAAATCCAACAGCTGCTGAAAATGTCACCTGGTTGAAGAAATACGCGGAAATAACAGTCTCACGCTCTCTGTGAAGGCTGCCAAATGAGAATCTTAGAAATGTAGGGATGCATAAATGATGAGAAACATTTATGCACAAGGCAAATTGAGAGTAATGGACCTCAAACAGGGTGAGAGCATCTGTATGGATTTTTCCCTTGCATCATTCTTTATCATTTACATGCTTAAAGACTTATCACACGTGACACCTTTGTCCTACTCGCTTCCACGTTTTAACTTTCACTGGCATTGGATCTTTTTTCTCTCAATTGTGTTTCATTTTTCTTCCTTCTCCATGAAGCTGGTGTTTGCTTTGCAACGTTTGACATTATCCGAGCTACAGCGATAAATGGAGTCGGTCCAGGATTTTTCTGTGTGTTGATAAAAAAAAATAATGTCCAATGTTTTTTCTTTAGATTAATTTTTTTCCCCCACTTGCTGATGTTAAACCGGCTGAAGCTGTACTCTCAAAGCCGTGCGTTTCTGTGCACCACACTTGAAATGAATCTGTGCTCCACGGTTTAATATACGATATCACATCTGGGAATCCATCATGTGTCAGTTCTCGACTCTCAACTCTTACTGTAAACATCTTGGCGGCAGTCAGTTTCTGCTGACATTGCATTCTTTGCAGCCCTCGGCCTGCCGTGCAAAGCTCATGACGATCAGATGTGTTGAGATTTGTGGTTCAAAGTTGGCAGCTGCTTATTCTGCCATTGCTGCATGACACATGGCCAAGTGCAGAGCTTGAATGGGCCAAGAGCGTTTAATTTGAGACAAACCACAAGTCCTACTAATGTGATGCAGGATAGGGAGGATTATTTTGATTATTTTCACCACATTGATGTCCTTGAACAACTTCAAAATAGAAGACTCGTGTGAGGCTAAACTCAAATTGCTCTGTTAGCAGTCATTGGCATTGCATGGACTATTGCTCTCCAAAACCCTTTGAGATATTTCCATTTGTTTGAGTACACTGGAGGCCCAGAGGGAAGCTGGCTCTCACAGTAATATCCACCCAACTCATCCTCCCGGCAGTTTACAGCCAAAATGCTGGAGGGTGGAGGGTTTCTTTTACGACAGGATGGAATATACGCGGATGGTTTGTGGAGTTATTACCAGTGGCGTACAGGCTGTGAGGGAGTCCATGTGTTAGGGTTACCCCGCCAAGAATTTTTTCATCCTTGGAGGAGGAGCCTTTTAAACATTGGCTCTGGTGCGGCTGAGTGCAAAAGTGTCAGATCAATGTCTGATAACAAGCAGGGTGTCGGTGTCATGAGGAGAGCAAATAATGGAGCTGAACCGACAGTGTGACACAGACTGACTCTGGACTGTAATCTTTACTACCCCCTCCCCCCCTCTCACTCGGCTGACTAAAAGCCTGCCCCTGTGTGTTGGCCAAACATAGCGTTCGCTTCATTGAGTTAATGTGCACGTGCCCGGGAGCTGGTCATGTGAAAAAAGGTAGTCTGGGTCAAGAGGGGGCCGGGGTTCTTCTTCCGATAAGAGGCTTGGGGAGAGGCTCTTAAGACCCCATCATCGCTGAGCCCACACACACAACACTTGAAATATTCAGCACCTTCAGCTATTCACTCGCCGAAATTCCACTCTCCGTCGTTGACACTGTCACTTGGCTCCCCGGGGGGGGGCCAGTGTCGGTCACGGTCTCGCCGCTCGTCCTCATTGGCTAAAGGGTGGAGGGTCCTGCTGTAGGGGGCCCTCTGGTTGGCTGGTTTCTACCATTTCTGTTGGGATTATGCTCCATAGATTGGGCACGCTCCCAAACCCCCTGCATCTGTTCTAAAGAGTGTAAAGGGGGTGATTGAGAAGGAGGAGAGGGAGGGGAGGGGAGGAAGAGGGAACAGAGAGAGTTGGAGGGCAGAAGGGGGAGGGGCATCCTCCTCCCGACTGTCTCATTTGGGGTTTTAGTCAAGTTGTGCTCATCTTGGGGGCGCACATGTCTGCGTGTCAGTGAACCTGCGCCGTCACTCGGTCTCGCTTTAGGTGATGAGAGATGTGGATGCACGGCTGAGTGTCACCCGCTGAGGATCATTGTGGAGTAAGTTTTTTTGTGGGGCGGTCTTCTTTTTTTTTAATAATTGTTTATTATGGACAAATCTGGATGTATCTTTTTTTTTCGCCCTTAAATTCCGAATGCGGTGTTTGCAGGAGATGCTTGTGTCGTTGAGTGGAGGGCACAGAGGCTTTCTGAACTGATCCCATATTCATCCGCAGCCTCGCGCCCTTCGGGGATCTGCTACTATTGTTTCCCTTCTGCTGTATAGCGAGATCAAAGGAACCCTCTGCAGCTCCATGCGAATCCAATATGGAGCCATACACTGCAAACGGAGCGCCATGTTTAAGGGGAACACTGGACCAATAGCGGCGATTTTTAGCAACGCACCATTTCAGTTCATCAAATATTTACACACTGATTGATTAAGAAAAATACGGGGGGAAAAAACACACTGACATACGTGGGAAGCTAAAGCAACCTGCGGAATGGAGGTGATGGCATCTTGTTGGAGGGGGCAGGTAAGCAACCCAAGATATGGAGAAGAAATTTGGATTTGGTTTTGCCCACGATGAGCCACCGTGCCAGAAGCTTGGGTGTTCAAATGGTTGAGAAGGCTGTTTACTATTTAATGAAGTTGTATGTGCGCATGATGTCCTGTTCTTGCCAGAGGAATATCGAAGGACATGGGCGAAGAAGATGAGGCAAGCCTTTGAAATCAGACAACCCTGTTGGATTTATTTTTTTTCGCCATGGTTTTATGTGTGTGCGCTTGTGTAATCATGTTAATAATTCCCCGTGTTAACCACGCTCCCCCGTGTCCATCTAGGAGGAACAAGCTGCCAAATTGAAGGCAGAGAAGATCCGCGTCGCCCTGGAAAAGATCAAGGAGGCACAGGTCAAAAAGGTGGGGCCGCCGCTCTCTTTTTGCACACAACCACGAAACCTTTTGAAAGACCATTCCGACCCGTCTGACAAACGGCTGTCTGTTCGTATTTGCGGCGGCGGTGCGTTTTCTTTGTGAACTTCATTGGCGGCGGAGCGCGCAGAAGAAAATAGGTCATTGCAGTATTTTGAAATACGTGTGCGTTTCTCCCGGGGAGGGGGGCGAGACATCGGGAGCACGATTCAGGAAACAAGACAATGAGGAAACCTTCTACACAGAACCTCTTATTGACCACCAGCAACCAAACAAATGCTGATTTTACGGAGAAACATCGGGGGTCCCTGAAAGCCGCGGCGCGTGCATGTCTCCATCTTTATTTATTTATTTATTTCTTCCCCCAGTGAAGGAACTGTCCCTGTGAATGAGAGCAGCAGAATGGTGTCCTCTTACATGCCATGAATAGTTGAGACCCAACAGTGTTCCGACAAGCGGGGCTGGACGCCGCGCTGCCAAGTGAACACAATATGACAAGAGAAAGCGTGCTGGCGCAGGCGCCGCATAAAGAAAACCCCACAATGCTGCGATGTGCTACATTTTTAGTCTGGTTGTCAGCAGTCTTGTCTCACTTTGCTACGTTTTGGATTCTTGACAATTAAACAGTTCGATCGTGTTTGGATTGAGGGTTCTGGATTGTAGCCCGTCGATGCGGTGTGGATTTTTGGGGGGGGGCTTCATTTAATTTTCTATACCAGACTAGCTTTTAGGTTTTAGGGGTCCCTCCTGTGAGAAATGTAGGTCAAGACTCCCCATGTCTTTGGCTAGCGGGACTCTTGGCATTCCCATTAGTCCAAGCGTCCCTTCAATCCACTCTACCCACCCCCTGATTGGATGCCAGGGTCCCCGGTGGGAGGGGATAAGCGGGAGGTCAAAGAATTTAGGGCGCTTTACTCCGTTTCACACCAGGACAAGTCTTAAATCGGCTGGATTAGTCGTGGTCAGATTAGTTTAAACCTGCTTGTTATTGAGGGTTTTTTATCGCCTGCGGATGCAAAACTTTTAGATTATTGAGAGGTTGTATAGGCGCCATTGTGACCGCAGTGACCCTCAACTTTTGAAACGTGCTCTGCGAGCACATGACCGCGTTCCATCATCTTCTCTTCCATCTCTTCATGTGGCTTAATTCCAGTGGGACGGTTCAAAATTATTCTATTGCTAATTTTCCCAAGGAAACAGGCCTCTAGGGGTTTATCTGAACGCTGGGGGTTATTGGTCCTTTGGTCAAAGTTTCTGTAAACTGATTAGAGGCAATAGGGCAAGAATTATCCAGCGTTACCCATCGTTCTCAGAGATTCCTGCATGGGTTCTTTAATCGTAGCTAAAATAACAAAAACAACAAGCCATGAGGGTGTTTTTTTCCCCATAGGATTTGAATATGCTGCTATACTGTAGCGCTCAAGAATACATAATTAGAAGCCTTGACTAGTAAAATATAATAATGGGTGAATAAATTAATTGTTAAAGAATAATTATTATTTAAGCTTGACTTAAAATTACGTCTGATGCCATTTTTGAATAAACAATTCAAACTGAAATGCCTGCACAGAGATCATATTGGTGTGTCTTTACATTGTGCATCAAGTCAACCTACAGCGGCTCCTTTCCTTTCCTCCGCTTCCTCAGCTGGTGATCAGGGTCCACATGTCGGACGAGAGCTCCAAGACCATGATGGTGGACGAGAGGCAGACGGTGAGGCAGGTGCTGGACAGCCTGCTGGATAAGTCGCACTGTGGCTACAGTCCCGACTGGTCTCTCGTGGAAACCATCAATGAGCTACAGATGGGTAAGACAGGAGGACAAATAAACATTGTTTATGGTCCGAGGCTGTTGGCATGGATTGGAGGCTCTAACGTGTGCTGTTCTAAAAATTGTCACTGTTTGCAACCGCGGGCTAATTTTCATGATTGCAGGATCTCAGGACCCCAGAGGGATGAAATTAGGTGCACATTTGCGTGTCAGAACACTGCATATCTTCCATCTTCATTTCATTCCTCCCTCTTCTCTCTCCTCCCGCTCTCAGAGCGTATTTTCGAGGACCACGAGAACTTGGTGGAGAATCTCTTAAACTGGACCCGGGACAGCCACAACAAGCTGATGTTCATCGAACGCATCGAGAAATATGCCCTCTTCAAGAACCCTCAGGTGACCGTCAATATACCCCTCTGTGCACGCTTTACACACAAACGTTTATGCATGCTGAGTGCCGGCACAGCCCACAGACTCAGGCAGGGAACAGGGGAGTGGGTTTGTGTAGAAGAGCTGGAAGTAGGTCAAAGCGCCACAGCGAGTAAAGGTGAATAATTTATTTAACATAAGAGAAGGTGAGCCGCCGCCTTGCATCCCTCACTGTTCTTCTCGATCATCTCCAGAACTACTTGCTGGGGCGGAAGGAGACGTCGGAAATGGCTGACCGGAATAAAGAGGCTTTGTTGGAGGTGAGGTTGTGGGCAAGCACGAGCTTCCCTTTTGTTTCCGACACACCGGGACGATCTCTGACTTTTGAAGGGAATTTCTGTGCGTCCGTCAGGAGTGCTTCTGTGGCGGGTCGGTGTCCGTGCCGGAGATCGAGGGCATCCTGTGGCTGAAGGAGGACGGCAAGAAGTCGTGGAAGAAACGTTACTTCCTCCTCAGAGCCTCCGGGATCTACTACGTCCCCAAAGGCAAAGCCAAGGTCTGTGAAGTTTCTGGATGGTTCAGTTCGAGCTGCTCAGAGTGAAGATGGAGAACGGAGATGCGGGTTGAGGGTTATGAGAACCAGACTTACACAGGCCGCTCTGTGGTATTTCCTGTTGATCGAAATGAGGAGAAACACATGGGCTCCGTTTTTAGCCCCAGCCTCATCTCCAAAGTCATTTTATTACATCGCATTATTCACTGGCTGCGCTACCACAGACCAATGCTGTTGATTGTTCTACTGCCTTTATTCAAATCCCGCAACCGCGTGTGCGCAACCAAGTAGGTGGAGACCTGCCAAATGTTTGAGAGAAAAGAGCACTGCATTTTAGATCTGCCTGATTACCCTCAAAAACATGAGCACTGTGACTAAAGAAAAAAAAAATGTGATTAATGTGAAATAAAGACTTTTGCATTGGATGTTTCCATATATTTAAAGTTGTTCCACCCTCCTCTGTCTCCGCCCTTGCAGGCATCCAGAGATCTTGTGTGCTTCCTGCAGCTGGACCATGTTAACGTGTATTACGGCCAGGACTACCGCTGCAAATACAAGGCTCCTACCGACTACTGCCTGGCCCTGAAGGTGAAGCCCCGTCCCTCCACCTTCCTCCTGAGTGGAGACTTTTGTGTTGTGTGTTGTAAAATAAATAGTTTTTAGAGCTTCTAAGACAAGTGCATTTGCAATGCAGTATCATTGCCATAATGCATTAACAAATACACTGCTGTTTTTTGAATGGCAAATTACTTCCAGTCAAGTAACCTTTGATCGCTATTATTGATCACTATTAAAAAAATAAAGAGTTTTAAAGCAAAGAGTTTTGTATTTATAAGGATTTTATAGTGAAAAATATTTTGCTGCATCATTTCAGAAGAGAAAAAAATAATATTTTCTTCTATTTGCAGCATCCCCAAATCCAGAAGAAGTCCCAGTACATCAAGTATCTGTGTTGTGATGATGTCAGGACTCTGCACCAATGGGTGAATGGAATTCGCATCGCCAAGGTGAGCTACTTCTCTGGTTTGTCAAAGGGAATACTAAAGGGATGGTTCTCACTTCTAAGATAATTCATGTTATATAAATTATCTCTTTGTATGTAGTACGGCAAGCAACTATATGTAAACTACCAGGAGGCCATGAAGAGGACTGAGGCCGCCTACGATTGGTCCTCGCTCTCCACCGCCAGCATCCGATCAGGTTCCAGCTCCGCCAGCATTCCTGGTAAGTTCATTTCATATAGTGTATGTAAAGCTTAAAAAACGCTAGATGCTCAGTTTCCCGTATTCCGCTCAACGGCATCTCTCTTTTTAAGAATTTAGCAAGCAAAGGAAGACTATCATAAACACCATGACCTAAATGAAAGCATACTATCCAACAGTCTTATTAATATTGTGCTAGAAAGATCAAAAAGCTATAATTTTACTCCACTGGCAATATCCTTCTCTCAAAGTGTGTTTATGTCCTTTGTGTGTACATTCAGAGTCCCAGTCTAATCACTCAGGCCACTCAGACAGTGGAGTGGACACAGGCACTTCTCATGGCCGGTCCCAAAGTGTGGTGAGCTCCATTTTTTCTGAGGCCTGGAAGAGAGGTACCCAGATAGAGGAAAGCTCCAAGGTATGGCTCTCTGTCAAACACAGCTGGGATTAAAAAAAATCCCCTATAGTTGCAACACTGTTACCAAATATGACATTGACTTTCCTTTTGTTTCCCGTTAGGCATCCAGAGGTGGCACCCTGCCGCACGCTTCCCACGTTCACCGGCATCACAGCCAGCATTCAGCGGATCACCCGGCTCTGACGCCCCCTCCCCAACCTCAGGTGCAACCTCAACCAGTCCTACAACACCCTCCGCAGCTTCAGCATCCCGAGACACTGACCCAGGTGGCAACGCTACACCAGCACCTGCCTCCCCAGCATCAGTCTCCCCAGCAGGCACCACAGCCGGCTCCCCAGTTTCCCCAGCGCCCTCAGCCGTCGCCACAGTCTCCGCAGCAGCAGCAGCAGCAGCAACAACTGCTACAGCTGCAGCAACAACAACTACAGCAACAACAACTACAGCTACAGCAGCAGCTACAGCAGCAACAACAGCTACAACTGCAGCAGCAGAGACAAGAGCAACAACAACAGCTGCAGCAGCAGAGACAAGAGCAACAACAACAGCTGCAGCAGCAGAGACAACAACAACAGCAACAACAGCCGCAGCAACAGCTGCAGCAGCAGAGACAACCGCATCAACAATTTCAACAGCAACAGCAGCAACAACTACAGCAGCAGCAACAACTACAGCAGCAGCAACAACTACAGCAGCAGCAGCAACAACTACAGCAACAACTACAGCAGCAGCAACAACTACAGCAACAACTACAGCAACAGCTACAGCAGCCGCAGACCATCGCTGGCTACAACCACATGCTCCCGCTGCCACAACAGCTGGCTCCACCACCACCGCCACCTCCTCCCCCGCCGCCTCCTCTCCCACCCCTAGTTCAGGCGGTATCGCACCACTCTCCGGGGCCCACCATGTACAAATTCAGCACCATCAACCGGCTGCAGAACCAGATGGCCTCCCAGTCGGCCAATCACCACAGGTTTCCTGGTCACCTGCATGCGATAGGGCAGCAGGTTCTGCCCAGGGCTCCGACGCCACCGGCACCTCAGGTGCCCGTTAACGTGAATCACATCGCAGCGAGGACTAATGTCCCGCCTCCGCCTCCTCCTCCCCCTCCACCGGCCATGCCGACCCCCGGGTCAGCCATGGCGATGTTGAAGCGGGGCCCCCCCAGCCCGGCTACCCCGCCGGCTTTTATTCCCCCGCCTCCAGGACCTCCGGCTCCACAGACAAACGGATTGGCGTTTCCTCCGCCCCCTCCGCCGTATCCCACGGGTCAGCATGTCTACCCCAACGGGCTGAAGCAGGCGTTGAAGGAGAGATTCCCCAGCCCGCCACGGGACCTCCTCCCTCCAAATGGGGTCCTCGAGGAGTCCCCACCGCCTGCCCCCGCTCCGCCACCTCCACCTCCTCCGCCTCCGCCTCCGCCGCCACCGCCTCCTCCTCCCCAGCAGTTCAATTTGCCAGCCCAGTTCCCGCCCCCCCCTGCACCGCCACCAGCGCCGCCCAAAACCTTCACCCCGGGCTTTGTCCGTCACACCGCCCCCAAACCGGTGTCGCCTGTCTCTCCTTTCCCTCCCGCCCCACCTCCCGCCGCCTTGGCTGGGTCCGAACCCGCCCCCACCTTCAACCCACGTTTCCGCCTGGGCGCCTTAAGAAGCAATATAACCTTGCAGGCGGGCTCCCCCCCTCGACTCTCCCTCAAGCAGCACGCGCTGGCTAAAACAGCCAGCTCCCCACATGTCCTTTGGTGAAACAACTAGAGGGTTTTTTTTTTAGGAGGCTTCTTTCTAAAACAGCAACATAAACAATAAGGGAGAAAACTCCCGACTCTTCCCCCTCGCGGTCAAGACCAAACCGAGATGGCAGCCCGGTGGCGGCCCGCAACTGCAATCCCCGGAGTTCCCCCCTCCTCCAGACAACAACGTTGGCTTCCCCGCCGCCGCCGCCGCTGCTCCTCCTCCTCCACCGCCTCCTCCTCCCCCTCCGCCTCCGCCCCCAGCTCACGTCACCGGGCCGACTCCACCACCTCCCCCACTACCCCCCGGGAACCTAGGCTCCTTGTCTCGGAGGTCACCCCCCGTGTCCTCCGGTTTCGGGGGCAAGAAAGCGCCTCCCGCCCCGCAGAGGGACTCCAGCTCCAAGTTCAACGCCTCGGATCTTACGAAGAATCCAGGAGAAACTTGCTCAGCAAGTTTGCGCCTCCCCAGAACAGCGCCTCACCGAGTCCCACGTCCTCCTCCAGAGATCCCCAGCCAAGGACCCTTCAACTGGGCCCCGTGCCCCCCCGAAACCAGGCAAGCTCAACCTGGCCAACCTGCCCATGGCGCTGCAGGCTAAAGTGAGCCAGGTAAAGCAGACCAGCGGGGACTTCCCCTCCCCACCACCCGAGAGCGCCTACTTCCCGCCTCCTCCGCCAGCCTCTGAGCTCTTCCCCCCTCCTCCGCCTCCCGGTGGCGACGCCCACAGCGGAGGACCTCCTCGGGTGGCCGTGGTCAATCCACAGCCCCAGGCTCCCCCTCCTCCTCCGCCCGTCTCCCTCGTCAGCAACTCTACGTGGGGGAAGAGCTCACTGAAGAAGACTCCTCCGCCCACGCTCGTGCGGCGTAGCAACGCCACGCCGGAGCCCGCTCCGCTCTCCCCGCCTCCGCCCACCTCCCCGAAGGGCAGCTCGGGCCAGCCCAATTTCCTGGATGATCTCCACCGGACACTGAAGCGAAAGTCGGTGGGTCGCCAAGGTTCCCTCAACTCGGCCGGCCTCGCGGGCAAGCCGGACGCCGTGGGGACAATGGACGACATGGCGCTGCCTCCCCCGCCCCCCGAGCTGCTCCTGGACGAAGGACAGCAGAGCAACGGAGGAAACGGTGCCTACATGTCCGGAAACATCTCAGGCTATGCAACAATACGACGAGGACCCCCGCCCGCACCGCCCAAACGAGGGGACGCAACCAAACTTACCGGGGAGTGTTGAAGCGCGGAGGTCATTATGAAGGTGGCTGAATAGCAGAATATATTGAACTGAACACTCGTTGGTGAGATGGGAGCAAACTCCTGAACAGCTTCGGTCCTGTTAAAGAGACTGTGTACATATTAAAACCCAAACCAGACCACGGGTCCGTTGGTGTTGGCTAATTATTGCCGTTTCTTTAACATGCTTAGCGTTCCGGATCGGTGGGGTTCAGACTGGAGCGGGTAAGTTTGAGGTCACAGAAAAGAAAAGAAAAAGGTCTTAATTTTCTGCGATCCTCTAAACTCTCTGGAAGACATTGTATTATGGTATAACCCCGCCCATCTGGTACACCAAGCAAATTTAAAATAAACAATAATAAGAAAGTCTGAGCCAAACCACGTACTGGAGACAAAAAACAAAACAAAATACATCTGGATCTTTCTGATTGGTACTGCATGGACTTCATGTGAGACCAACCGAGTGTTTGCATGAGAGGAGCTGAGACTAGAGAGCCACACATGCATGCATGTGTGGCTGATTATATGGTGGTGAAGTAGTTCACCATTGGAGAAGGCCTTCGAGGAGGGGGGACAGTGAGGTTTGTTTTTATAAAGAATTATTTAATGAGCGATAAACAGAAGGACTTTTCTTTCTTTCTTTTTTTTTTGTACGTCTGTCTTTTCTTCGCTGCTTCACAAAGTCTTGAGAGGAGCAAAACACGAGGGCACAATGGAATGTATCTGGGACGGTGTAATTAAGAACAAGAGTTACACACACAAAAGCAATGATTCAGCAGCATAAATGTTAAACTTTTAAATCTGTCGACATTTCTAGACTGTTTCAACACTTTAGCAAAGCATCAGAAGGAAGCCTTATCCCCAAAGTGTTGCACAGAGGTCAAAAGCAAAATGTAAGTTAGTTTCTAAAGGTTCAGCAGTGCCTGGATTGAGGAGGAAGAAGAAGAGGAGACATGTTTTTTGTACTTTATTTAATGTAAATGGAGGAGCAGGAGGCCTGTGACTGTGGGTTCCCCCGTGCGCTGGCTCGATTTTGGACCTCGTTCCTCACATCGTGTCTGTACAGTCGTAGCTGCTACTCAGTTACTGTTGCCCCCCCCCCCCCCCCCCCATCCTCGCCGCCGCTTTTTTAAAGTCACATGGGATCGCAGTTTGGGAAATAAAAAGTACCGGGTGGATTCAGTCCTGGCAAATATACTCATCCACACAAGCTAACCCAGTATAAAAGAATACATTTTACATCATTAAATCATGTACTGGATTGGATCATGAAGGGTTCTAATTTCAAGCAGCAATGCCTTTTATTTTTCCGGGTGCTAATGTTGTCCGTTTCAAGGAACTCCTCATCAACATGTCCTTCTTTGCAAGGATGACATATCATTATTATCTCAGACTGTTTAAACTGGTTTTAAATTGACGTATAACTGATTACCATTGTCTTAACCGGATGTTTGCTACAGTGCAGTATGTAAGTTATTGATGTGCTGATGTGAACATGTGGGGCCAAGTGAAATGAAGACAAATGGTTGCAGACGTGTCCTGCATATAAACTGAAAATCACAATATAAATGTTCAAACCAGACTGGAATCTGTCCTCATTTGTTGAAACGGTTTGGATAAGGTGTAGAAATGTAGGCGATCTGCTTCTTGCAGTGCATTTAGGCACCATGATTTCACCATCTATGTACAAAGGATTAAAATGGGAACCATGTTTGTTGGTAAGTAGAGCTTAGACTCCCTCTAGTGTTTTTTTTGTTATCCTACACCAGTGGTTCCCATCTCTGCTAACCCACAGACACAAAGGAGAGGGAGAGGGACGTAGATTTTATTCCTATTTTATTAGCATTAAAATGAATAAACAAGTGGGAAAAGTGAGGTTATATGTACAAACTACATGAGTTTATGTGTTGAAATGCAATTCATTCCAAACAAAAGGTACAACCCATTTGGGTCCATCCTATATCATCGAAGGGCCTCAACTATAAGTGTTTAGGAACGACTTCCTACACTGAGAAGGAAAACCGCAACACCACATCGAACAGTCTTTTATTGTCAAATAAAATCATTTAAATTGAGGGGATTGAGCTACAATGTAAACGTGTTTCTCCATCAAATAGCACAAAAAAGCAACCATATAATGACTTGCATATTTTATTTTCAATTCAAACTTGTCTGCTCATTAGCACCTAAATGTTTCCAGAGTGAGCTAGAATGTCACACCAGATAGTTGGGCAAGATGTCGCCTCTGGGCCGCGGAGGGATCTGCCAGGCTGGAGGGGCGGAAGCATCCGGTACTGCTGAAAGACGTTGGGACTCTGGTCAGTTCCATGCATTGAATATCACACTGGAGAACGTATATTGAGATTCAGCAGCTGATTGTAGTTTACCTCTATTTACCAATGGGATGTTGAACTGGTGTCTCCCTCTAGAGAACACCTGTATAACAAAAGCTTTTGTTACTCACGTTCCCTCTATACTTCAGGTTACTGCACAAATAGAAGAAAGAGCAAATGAAAGACGACAGCATTGATCCCCTTATGTGACCCCGCTTGTGTCCTCACCTCCTCGCTAGACTCTGAGCTGGAGCTGGAGGAGCCGCTGCCGCACCTGAGGGACACCACCTGGGCCGAGGTGGCCGACATTCGAACCCGACTGGAGCAGGACAGGGATTGCTGAGGTCGAAGGAGACGGTGGTATTTTTTTTTGGCGTTGTTGAATAACGCACATATCTCGTCTCATTGCGTCACGGCCGCGGATTTGATCAACACACTCTGTCCCAGTGAACATGGGCCAACGCAAACATTGGGCTGCATCGGTCGGTCAACACGCTTCCTACCCAGAACTGAGATATGAAGCCTTCAGCGCCCAAGAGTTGTGTACAGATACAGTTTGATATTCAACCCACCCCGCTGATCCTATATAGTGTCACACTATAAGAGGCAGAACTCTATTTCACATATAATTCATTTCACTCCAGGTGAACTGATACAAACCATCACCCATTTTAATGGGTCATTGAATGCCTCACCACGAAGAAGCCAGGTCTGAAGGCACATGTCTGGGGGTTGTTTCCCGAAGCCTTTACACACTCCGTCTCTTTAATGCCAAACGCCATCAGCAGGTCAGCTGTGTTCAGGCCCATGGGAATCACCTGGGAGACATTTGAAAAAGATGTCATGAAAGAGAACATCTAGTACTGCTGTACATACTGTAAATATCCTCCACAGCATAAGAAAATGCTTATGGGCACGCTTTAGATATATCCTGGAGACCTCTGTGTGTGTGTGTGTGTGGACTCACCCTCGTGACAGAGCCTTTAGTGACCCGGTAAAGGTGGCTGGCGGCGTGCACCGAGTTGACCTCGGCCAGAGCCGCTGCCAGGCCCCTCTCTGCCAGGGACTCCAGCTCCGGGTTGTACAGCGGGATTCCTGCAAGGACAAAGGTGCGGCGAAGAGTCAGTCCCAAGCGTCTACTTATGAAGTAAATGGCGAGAGAGAGAGACACTCACCCGAGCATCCCAGAGACTGCAGCAGGGCCAAGAGGAGCACGTGTGACTTCATCCCCACGAGCACCAGAGCGAAATTGCGCAGTTCCTCGTCGAGCTCCCTCTTAACGTGTGTCCCCGAGGGGCCCCGTGTGCCGCCCCTTACCCTCGGTCACCCCCTAAAAACTCCCTCCCCTCTCGTCTCACTGGCTTCCTTCACGCAACAGACGTTAACCTTTGTCCAGCTCTATTGATCCCGTTGCGATGCCCCAAATTAAATAAGCACCTTGATAAGAATTCAGATCGGACAGCTTTCGTTCACAACCTTATCGTATACTGCTCAAATCTGAATTATTGCGCTAAATCCAATTCATTCAGCAGCTTAAGGGACCGTAGGCATTTACAAATAGTCTTTTAATTAGTTGAAATCAACAAATACAATACATTTTGGACTGTTGGTTTCATAGAACATACCTGTTAAACTACATGAATCCAATAATCTCTTACTCGGATCACATCTTTATTACATTCATCATCAATATCAAAAATACTTCACAATTTGGGCTTGTAATGAAGTAAAGTTCTTGTAAACAATAAATATATTATCTGTTACATTTTACAGCACCTTATTCAGCTGTCTAAACTACGTATTTGTTCCCCTTCAGCCATTTTAACTAAATATAATACGTCTTTAAGTGAGCTGACACCACTGACAAAAGAATGAGTCCTGCAAAAATGCCATTGCTCGGGATTTTGGTATTTACAAATACAACTAAGAGCGCTACACAATTTTCTGTGGCAGCATTCCATCCAAACACACGAGGCAAAGATCTGATGTTTTCTGATCTGTACCTTGTTACTCTGTCTGAGCCGTGCACCTAATCTGTACTAAGAGTTATTACAAACCTTGATTCATTTTTAATCGGTTTTAGTCAAACCGTTACAGTGTAAACGCATCAAAGTTAAAAGGTGCTTGACGTGTGAAATAGCCGCTCACACGTTAACTCTACACACGCAAAATATCAGTCCTCTCCTCATCGTTCAAGTGTTGACATCAGAGGATCCATGGCGGCGAGGAAGCAGGCTTCAAACTCCTGGTCTGAGAAGCGAGCCACGGACTGACGTGCGTTCTCTCTGATTTGCAGCCGGCTGGCGGGTTCCAGCGCCAGGATCCTGTCTATGGCCTCCGCGTAACTGTCCTCGTCCTCAGCCAGAAAGCCTGTCTGGCCCCCTTCGAAAGGTACCACGATGTCCAGCTTGGGGCCGCCGGACTTGTGTGCCAGAATGACCTTCCCCGCGGCCATACACTCCACGATGCCTACAAGAGAACAGAGATGCACTTTTCAAATAATTGAAATCAAATTAGACAATCCAAACAAAACCTCTCTCGGGTTATTTACCTATTCCAAAGTGTTCGTTCCACATGGTATGCAGTCCGATGGTGGCTTCTGCTATCTCTCTCTTCAGCTCGTCGAAGGGCACGTTCAGTTTGAACGCCACTCTGTCCGCGACCCCCAGCTCCTGGCACAGACCCCGCAACATGAGCACCCGGTCCTCGTCTTCCTGATTCCTGCAGCCGCCAATCAGAACCAGCTTCAGCGCCTCCCTGCCCCCCGGCCCCTCCCTCCTACTGTCTAAGACCTTCTTGAAAGCTTTGATCTGCAGACGGTGGTCCTTCTCCGGCCTGAACTGCCCGATGGAAACGATCGAGTGGCACTTCTTGTTCCCGTCCTCCTCCAGTGGGACATCCAGGAAGGCGCTGACGTCGCAGGGCGGATAGACCACGCTGGTGCGGTTGGGCGCGCGCCACAGAGACAGGATGTGATCGAGGGTCCAGGAGGAGTTGACCATGATGAGGTCGCTGCAGGAGCCGGCCATGCCGTAAAACAGAGCGAGCAGGCAGTAGTAGACCACCTTGAATGCACTCAGGAAGAGACTGTCGGTGACGTAGTCTGGGTTGTTGAACCTAAAACATCAACAGTTTGTTATTCGAGGGGTTCGCAAGGAGCTCATTTTACTTGAAATGACCAATACATTTCCATGTTCTCAACCTTGCCCTTGTGACAAATGTCTTTGTGAAGAAACACAAGTATTACCTGGGGTTCCTCTCTCTCACTACAGACAACATGTCAGTGCTGATGGTGGGGTAGTGAACGTAACTCCCCACGCTGCAGCCTCCCAAGTAGCGGAACAGGGGCAGGGTGAAGGCGTAGCCCATGGAGTCGATGTAGATGTCTGGGACAAACTCCGTCAGCGCCTCCCATCCCAGGAAGATGGAGCCCACACTCTGTCCCAGCAGGGTGAAGTGAGGGAACAGGCCGGGCTCCACGAGCAGCCGGTGCCTCAGGAACACAAACTGAACAGGGCGAGGGAGCGCTATGTTGAAACGCCGCCGCGCCCCGTCCAAAATCTGCTGACCCGTCACACCAAGGTCCCCGGTGTACACCACAAAGTTTATGTCCACGTACCTGAGCGGGAGTAAATCAAACGTAAGATACCGCATCGGTAAAGGGTAAACGTGAAGCCGTTCCGCATCGCATACGCTGTTTTGGGTTGTATTCCTCACTCAGAACATCGAAACTAAAATGCATTAAAAACGGTCTTCACCTGCTCTGCAACGCCCTGATGGCACACCAGAGCACCCGCTCTCCCCCGCCACCGGCGTTGCAGTACGGGTGGAAGAAGGCCACCGTGGGACGACCGTCCCTCGCCCGGCGCGCGCTCCTGCTGCTCTGGAGCCAGAAGCGCACCGCCAGCACCAGCAGGACCAGGACGGCGATCAGCAGCACACACAGAAACAGCAGCGGCAGCAGCATCTTCCACAGCAACCTGAAACACAGCGATGCCACCGTGAGTGCAGGAAAGTGATTACATCAACATGGCGGTTTTATGAGTGAGAAATGTAAACGCTGAAATGTATTGATCTAACTAGTAATGAATCATAAAAAGTACAGGGGGAAAAAATGCTTTTTGAAATGTGTGCAGTTAACTTCCGAGATTTACTGAGTCAGAAGTAAAGACTGTGACCCTAAAAGGTTAAAGGCCACCGATGAGGCTTCTCAAGAAAAGAACTGTTCTTTAAGGAGCCTCATACATGTCTCCTGGTGGAGGCATAATAAGAAGAAGAAAGGGGAATATTAACTAGTGCCACATATTGTTAGAATAACGTTACAACGCTGACGTCACGCATGAGCTCGTTCATGGCAACGCTAGCAGCATTAGCCTAGCGTAAAGGAGCAAATTAGTGTTGTATTTACCCCCCTCAAAGCAAACGCTGACAAGGAATTAGCTTCAGGTTAGCTAACGTTAAATAACCTGAACAATGAGTTAATCAACCTTTTTATGAGTAGCATGGTGGTTAATGGCTATCGTTGCCAAAGCAGCAGCGAGCATACAAACAAATGCAACGAGCGCAACACATTTTTCAAGATAAAAATATATATATATATTTTTAAAGTAGCAGGTTGGAAAGCCAGTATAATATCTTACCTTGTTATTTCACACAAACAGTGGACCAACTGATCGTGGCCCGACATCTTGCCTGGAGAAATCTAAAAACACATCACCTCCTTCCAAGTTGTCACGTTCGTCCTTTTTCTAAAAAGGAAAAAGGTTATTTATTTAGCGCCATCTAGCGGCGAGGATGTATTAGCGCGCCCTTGTTTTCAGCTCATATAGATAAACAGATGTAGTGTTGAGCTAAAATGAATTTAGGCTGAAAATATCAGATATTTCACCTACGGGCTATATAACACCAATAGTATACTAACGTCCTCCCTCTCAACAACTATGACTGATCTATGGTCCAACTTTAAAAACAGTAATGTTTAACTTCTGAATAAACACAGTTTCAATCAATATTGGGTCCCTGACCCTGTGGTTTTAATAAACCTCGACCATTTCCACTCTGGATTCTAACAACATGAGGACTCTTTTGATTTTGTTTGTATTAATACATTCGGACAAACTCCTGAGGACAGGAGGCTGCGAAGAAACGCAGTAAGTTTATTTTCTCAAAAAGTTATTTGGTGCCCGTGAAGTTAAATTTTCCCACAAAGAATTTGACTTTTCTTTTCGTCCAGGGACCAAATTTTATCGATCACCCCGAGAACACTGGAACAGGTGGACATCTTGAAGAATATTTCTTCTCAACATGAGGTAGAAAGGAGACTTTTATTTTGTGATTACATTTTTTCTGTCTGTAATCATTGTGTCAAATACGTGCTCCCAGACAGCCTTATGGCAGCCCGTGTCGTCTCACTACATCAAAGAAGAAACGGAGGTCCATCTGTTTGTTCCTGCAAACAGCTCAGAGACCGTCAAGGGCCTTCTGCACAAAGGGGCCATAACACACGAGTATGTCGCCGGTCACAAAGCAGAGTTGTGCAACGAGTTGCGAGCTTTCGGTAGTTACTTGTATGTTTGTTTCAGGGTGTTACTGTCCAACGCCAACGAGCTGATTGAAATGCAAACGAGGAACTACTCCACTGACCCCCGAAGCAGCTCATCTTTCTACGAGAGATATCACAATCTTGAAGATGTATGCTTTTCATTTTTTAACTGCTGGATTCCAAGTTATAACATAACATTGACTTTTCTATTGATTTTGCGTCAACAAACAGTTCTTCAGTACAGGATTATTGGTGTGCTGCTGATGCGCTGCATCTCAAGTCAATATGACTGTTATGTGACTGTTGACATCCAAACACTCTGTCTCCGCTGTAGATCTTTTATTGGATAAACAAGACCCAACAGGACAACCCGAGCACAGTTAAAGCCATTCTCATCGGCTCCTCGTACGAGAAGCGGCCCCTCTACGCTCTGAAGGTACACCCTCCAATGGTGATCATCCCTCACCCCCCCTTAGAATAAGAATCATTCAAACCGTTGTTTTCCAGCCAAAGATCTGACCTGTGAGAGAAATTCAAACTGTTTTGGGGTTTATACCCCCACTCCATCTCTCCATCTCAGCTGTCTCTAAATAACGACCTGAACAAGAAAGCAATGTGGATTGACTGTGGGATCCATGCCAGAGAGTGGATCTCTCCGGCTTTCTGCTTATGGTTTGTACAATATGTGAGTGCCTTTTAACGTGGTATCAATCGTGTGGGGAATCTTTTGCAGTACAAGGGTTTGACTGGTCTAGCGCTAAAATCATTTTCCTTGTATTTGTTTTGCACAGGCGTTGGCATTTTACAAGATAAACCAAGACATTACGGACATCCTGGACAACATGGATGTCTACATCCTGCCTGTTATGAACCCCGATGGATACCAGTACACATGGACCACAGTGAGAACACATACTGTTTCGCTGAGTGCTCCTGCCTTTGTATAGAGAACAATTACGACAATTTGTGATTCCCTTTGATTTATTTGCCTCAGAACAGGATGTGGAGGAAAAATCGCTCCGTCAACAGGAGCAACAACTGCATTGGGGTCGACCTCAACCGAAACTTTGATGCCAACTGGTGCAGTGAGTCTTGCACCCGTCTTTTTTGAGGAATTCACTGAACTGTGTCTTCTGTCATATATGAGAGTCTCGAGTCACCTCTAAGGTGAAGTGATTCCGTGTCTCCCAGCGGAGGGGGCCTCTGATGAGCCCTGCACTGAGATCTACTGCGGTGCGTATCCCGAGTCGGAACCAGAGTCGCGGGCCGTGGCCGACTTCCTGCGCAGTCACAAGGACTCAGTGCAGCTGTACCTCAGCATCCACTCCTACTCGCAGATGCTGCTCTTCCCGTACTCCTGCACCCTGGATGAAGCAGAGAACCACAACGACCTGGTGAGGGGATGGTCGTAGAAAATGACCTGATCCCGTCACTTCGAATGCAGAATACAACACAGGAACACTGACACGTGTTTGTGTCTTCTTCTTTTTAAAAAGCTTGAGATGGTTCAAGAAGCTGCCCAGGTAATCAGAAGACACTACAGGAACACCTACAAATATGGATCTGGAGCAAAGACAATATGTAAGGAGGGTCCCCTTTTATTTTTAAAGCAAAACCAGCCGGGCTCAATTCAGTCACTGGATGTCCGATGCATGTCTCCTTCTGTTCTCCAGACTTGGCTCCCGGCGGTTCTGACGATTGGGCTTACAAACTCGGCATCAAATACTCCTTCACATTTGAGCTGCAGGACCGCGGGCGATATGGCTTCCTCCTGCCACCGTCTTACATTTCCAAAGCCTGCAACGAAGCTCTGATTGCTGTGAAGACCATTGCTCTCAAAGTTATCGAGAAAACGAAAACTTACTAAGCAATTCAGGCTGAGAGTTCAATGTTTAAAGTCATTTTTGTGAACATTAAAACATGAAGCCGTAGAACTGTTTGTTCTGAATGTTCTTCTTCCATTTATTTTTTACTTTCTAAGCACACGTATTAGTGGTGATGTATTTGTCAGAAAAGTAGCTCTAATGGAAGCACAGATAATACATTGAATGCGTGTGGTCTTATATACATTCATCTAAACAATGAGATCTCATGTACAATGTAATGCAATCTAATAACGTTAGTCGGGTAAATAATAAAAAACTATTGTTTATGAGCAAAGGTATGTTTGGTTCTTCACTGACAATGACACAAATATATGGCATGTCATAAGAGCCTTATCAATTTCATAAACTCAGTTACTGCAATGACCATACATGCAATAACTACTACTCTTATCTTGAACGTGTTATTCTTGTAATCACAATAACACTTCTAACATAACAGGTTAACATTGCATGCCACTCAGTTGGTTACAATACACTCAGTTACCCAAATAATGTGAACCTTTAAAGCACTCCATGAGTTGCTAAATAACTCACAAAGAAGGTGTCATCAAGTTCTATTTCAGTATCGACCAACCAATATTAATGAAGAAGCCTTCACATCTTCCGCCGCAAACTAAAGACACACCTCTTCAGACTCTACCTCGACTAAAGACTAACAAATTGTAGCACTTAAATTGTACTTGTAACGTCACTCATCTATAGCAAATTGTAAATTGGCTTATTTGAGGAAATTGCACTTTCTTGTTTCTCGTTCTCCTGAGTTTGTACCCTATGGTTGAATGCACTTATTGTACGTCGCTTTGGATAAAAGCGTCAGCTAAATGACATGTAATGTAATGTAAAAGAAGTGTTTGTTAAATAATACACACTCCATACCAATCAGTGGCAGTACTGCACTAATTATCTTTTTTGACAACCGGTAATAAACTCTCACGAAGAAGAAAGAGACCAATGAGTGAATGGCGGCAACGCAACATTTCCCTTGAGGACAAACGGCCTCTAAAAACCACCGAAGAAGAAAAAGCAGACGCTCTGCCTCCGCCACCATGAAGGCACCGATGGCAGTTTCTGCCCCTGGCTTGGAAGAATAAACATTTTTATTTCTAAAAGTGCTGAATCCACTTCTTGGACTTAAGTAGATGCGACGCCGAATCAATATCTTGGGTGAGACCGCTTTTGCAGCTGCACTTTTTCATAAAGCACGCCACAGAGTCCAGCTTGAAGGCCCCGCGCTCAAAGAAAACATGAAGTCATTAACGTTAGCTCTGCGGTTCACTTACTTTAGCATTAGCCGCCCTTCGGTTGTGTGTTTTCATTAACGACCGGAACAGTCCCGTCTCACGTATACGTGCGTGACGTTTAAACACATTTAAAGAAAAGCAAACGCAATAGTTAGCTGGGGAACTTGGAGCTAACGTTAAGCTAGCATTAAGCGAATAGCACCTGCACGCACGTTAACGGGCCGAACCATTTGTATGTGTCTAATGTTTTGGATGCGTTGCGACTTGTGGCACAACGATCGTAGCCACATTCCTATCCCAATGTTTAGGGAAGACTGCTAGATTTAAATAATATTATGAAAACGTTAATTGTGATTTAGAATGAATGAAATCAGGCTTGGAAGTGCATCTCTGGCAGTCTTATTCTGTCTCGTGTTTTAATGCAGATGATTAATCATTGCCGCTTCATTACTGTTTGTCCTTTTTCCAGTCCTGCAGAATGTCCAAGATCAGGCGGAAGGTAACAGTGGAGAATTCAAAAACCATATCTGATAGCAGCAGCAGCAGCAGCACCACGACCAGCAGCACCAGTAACCCCGCCGCCCCATCCCGCCGGCCCAGTGTGTTTGAAAGACTTGGCCCCAGCACTGGGAGTAATGCTGCTGATGTATGTGGAGCCTGGTTATGTATCCCCGCTGTGTGATGCTGCTGTATCTCACCAAGCTCGTCTGTATGTATCTTTCAGAGTCACTGCAGAAATTGGCTGAAGACCGGTAATTGCAGTTACGGCAACACTTGTCGCTACACACATGGAACTCAGCCACGAGGCAAAGGATTTAGCTTCAGCCGGTAAGGTGGCTTGTTTTTAGTAACTTTGGTGTGTTGTGATTTTCTGCATTCAACCTTCTGATTAATGTATCTGGTTTTGTTTCGATCTTGGTCCCATCAAAACAAATGTCTTATTACCCATAGCTTTGTTGACCCCCAAACCCATGTCTGTGTATGTCGTAACGGAGCAGGTCAGCTGAGAGACCTACAGGTGATCTGCGGGAGAGGATGAAGAATAAAAGACAGGATGTTGACCCAGAAAACTTGAAGCGTGACCTAGACGAGCCCGCATCCCCCACAGCTAGAGTTAGTTCTCTGCTCTTTCAGTCTCTTTTTTTTTTTTAAGACGGAAGTGACCCCTCATGTGGGTGTTGTTCTAACATCTGTATGCATATGCGTCTACAGCAGAGAGACTCCTCCAGAGGCCGACACAGGGAAAAGGAGGATATAAAGATCACAAAGGAGCGCACCCCAGCCAGTGAAGAAGAGCCCACAGAGTGGGAAACCAATCGCGAAGGTGAGCTTGTTTTTTTCATTTGTTTAATGTTGGTATTTGAAATTAACTTAATTTCCTTAACGTGGGCTTTAATGTGACATGTTCTAAGATTCAGATTACTATAGAATTATATTTTTTTCTTTTTCTTTTTCCTTTAAGACTCCGATATCGGTGACTACGACTACGAGTTATCCCTCGAGATGAAGCGCCAGAAGATTCAGCGCGAGCTGATGAAATTGGAGCAGGAGAACTTGGACAAGAGGGAGGAAATTATCATTAAGAAAGATGAGACGCCCGCAAAAACAAGAGCACAAGCCATGCCAAAGGTAGGTAACTGGGTTGATTGAATTTAATGATTTTTTTTTTTTTTATGTATTTGGAAAGGGTTTCTAAGAGAGCGGCTAGGAGGGACTGTGACTTTTTACATAAAAAATAAATAAAAAAAGCGTTATCTTGATCTGTTGCCTCTGTCCCTCAGGCCTCCCCAGAGCTGCTAAGCAAGCAAGACTCGCCCTCATCCCGGAAGTCAACTGGATCCCCAAAACACAAAAGTGGAAACAAAGGACCAGGCTCTGGAAAGAAGGAGAAGAAGGCCGTAGTGCCCTCACCAGTTTCTGAATCTACCAGGTAAGAGTCTGGGTTAGCCCGTTATTTTTAGGTTCCAGTATGTCTCATAAACTACACTACTGTTCTCACTGACATTTGGTGGAAAGAACTGATAGATAATTATTCTACCCTCTTTGGTTCAGGCCTTCAAAAGGGAGCCACAGTAAGAAGAAAGGGCCCCGGACCCCCAGTCCCCCTCCCCCGGTCCCTCTAGATATTCCTGTTGTTGGTAAAAAACACAAAGGAAAGCACAAGAACAAGGAGAAGTCTGAGGAGAAGCAGAAGGAGGCAAAGGATCGAGGGAGAGATATTGAAAAACACAAAGAGAAAAAGGAGAAACGCAGGTAAAGTGTTGATGAAAGGTGGATTATTGTTATGAGTGCGTGTGTGTGCTCTCATTTAACCGAGGATTTCTCTTCCTGAACGTAGGGACAGGTCAGACAGTTCCCACAAGGCCAAGCGCTCAATGACATCAGAGGAGCGTTCTGGCAGTGTGTCCTCTCCCTCCAGGGGCACTACACCCACGGCCAGGAAGAAGTCCACCTCTCCGAAAGCTTTGTCCCACAAGACCCCCGTGCTGGTCTCCCCTCCTCGCAGGTCAGCACACCCGGAGCCACCGAGCAAAGCTTTTCTTTCAGCACGCTTTAATCTGTATCTGTGTTATTTGGTCACGATGACAACGGTGTGGTTTAAGCAGTGGAATGACAGTCCTTTGCCACGGCAGGTCTCCCACTCCTCCACGCCACCAGCGCACCCCCACTCCTCCACGCCACAAGCGCACCCCCACTCCTCCACGCCACCATTCGCCCTCCTCCAACTCTGGTTCCTCGGCCCAGCGGAACTCTTCGTCTCCTCGCCGCCGCCGCTCGTCCTCCCCCGCCTACCACCGGAGCGCGGTGGTCCTGACGTCCGCCTCCTCCCCTCCGAGCTCCCGGCGGTCCCGGTCCCCTCCCGCTTCCCACAGCGCCTCCTCTCCCCACCGCCGGTCCGACCGATCGAGCCCCGGCCAGCGCCACTCCAGGGGCCGCGAGAGGAGCCGCGGGGAAAGAGAGAGGAGTCCGCCTGCTCAGGAGCGCAGGCATGAGCGCAGAGATGGTGACTTTTATGTTCTAGTACCTTGTTTTCTTGTCTGCCATTCGATACAGTGAACACATCTGTCATTTTTGGCAAAGCAGATTCAGCAGTTTCTTATGAAATATGGTCCCCATCAATTGTATTTAAAGTGATTTCCTTCGACGGTTGCTCAACATTTTGTCTCTTCTAAACAGAAAGCCGCAGCAAGCGAGAGAAAGATGATCGGGACTACGAGCCCGAACAGGTCTCGTCGCGGGACGCCCGCGATGATCGGGAGACCAGAGAGGCCCGCGAGCGACGGGACGCTCGCTCGCGAGGCAGGGATACGGCCCGAGAGACCCGTGACCATCGAGACAGCCGGGACGTGAAGGACACCAGAGAAAGCCGAGCGGAGACCCGCTCCAGCCGAGAGTCGCTGGAGCGCCGCGACCGCGAACGAGAGAGGGACCGCGAGAAGGAGAGGGACAAAGACAGAGAGCGAGAAAAGGAGAGGGAGAGGACTGACAACCACCGGAAGGAGGAACCGGCTCAGGAGGACAGGAGTTATGGCCGAGGTCACGGACGGGAGGATGGGGGCAGAGCTGAAGGAAGGACGGAGAACAGGATAGACAGGACCGAGAGGAACAGCCGAGGGAGAGGGCGAGCCAATGAAACGTCTGACAAAGGCACGGACTGACATCACATTATACGTTCGTTATACTGTGGGAAATGTTTAGTAACGAGCAGCTTTTCGGGTCACGCCGACAGCTCGTTAAAGTTCCTCTGTGTCCGTCATTTCCTTCCAGGCTCAAACAGGAACTCCCGGGGTTCCCAACTGGAGAGCGGCCATGACAACTGGGAGTCCCGGAGCAGCGGCGTGCGTGAGCGGAGTGTGGAGAGGAGCACCGATCGCAGCGCTACCGAGCGGAGCTCCGCTTAGGGGCTCGGACCGAGATCGCTACGAGGGGGACAGGAGAGGAGAGGCCAGAGACTCCTCGTACGACAGGAGAGGAGGGCACGGAGAGCGGGATCGGAGAGACAACCGAGAAAGAGGCGGAGGTAAGGATTTGCTATATTTTCCACCAACTAAAAATAAAACGTATGGTGTATCATTATTATTATTATTATTATTTTTTGTTTGGCTAAGCATTATGACTTCCTGTTTCACCAGATCAAAGAGCAGCCTCTCCCGTCAGACACCAGGGGAGATCAGATGAGTCTGAGAGGGAGGACCGGAGGGAGGACCGCAGGGCAGATAGACCAGAGGACAGAAGAGACGACAGGACCCGTGACCGAGAGAGGGAGAGGGAGAAAGAGAAGGAGAGGGAGAGGGAAAAGGAGCGAGAGAAGGAGGTGGAGAGGGAGCGTGTCAGGGAGAGGGAACGGGAACGAGAAAGGGAGAGAGAGCGCGAGAGGGAGAGGGAACGGGAGCGGGAGGAGCGCGAACGGGAGAGGGAGGAACGGGAGCGGGAGAGGGAGAGGAAAGAGCGAGAGAGAGAAAGGGAGCGCGAGAGAGAGAGGGAGCAACGGGAGCAGCGGGAGAGGGAGAGGCAGCGGGAATGGGAGGAGCGGGAGAGAGGGCGAGAGGAAAGGCGGGAAAGGAGAGACGACACCAGGGACGACCGCACCGTCAGAGACGACCGCAAAACGAGGCGAGTCACCTCGAACGCTCCAGCCCATTTACCAGTATGAATGTGGTGGTATTTATTTATTTTCTTTAACACCTCCTCCTCTCCCTCCCATTAGTCGCAAGCGGCCCAGGGTGGAGAGCAGCCCGAGCCCCAGAGCCTCGCCGAAGCGAGCGGCCCGCGACGTCAGCCCCGCGGACAGCGACGGCTACAACAGCGCGGAAGAAAAAAGTGAGCGGGCAATTGGCCGGGGGCAGGCCAAGCTCCACCCTCAGCCCCTCCTCCCAACCCCAGTGTGTCTGCATCCACCTGACAGTAGGGGAATTCTTTTTTGCCAGGACACACTCGTGTTTGTAGGGGCACTATAACTGCAAATGCACACCAAAAATGTTTTGCTCTGGGGGAATAGACTGTTAGACCTGGAAGAGGCAAAGATCAGTGGTCTGCTGTCAAAGCCGCGTAAGACGACCAGTATGTGACTGTTTGCAGGTGCTGACAAGAACCGCTTGCTGAGCCAGGTGGTGCGGCCCCAGGAGCCGCCGCTGCGCTCCCCGCCGAGGGCCGCCGCGTCCGACGAGAAGCCCGCCCACTGGAAGGACGACGAGCGCAGAGGAGCCGGGGACAAAAGGGAAGCACGCGGCCGCCACGAGGACCCGGAGCCTCGCGGGGAGCGCAGCAGAGGGGGCGACAGGCGGGGAGAGCCCGTCGCGGATGGCCCGTCCGACTCCCGCGGCCGAGGCTGCAGGGACCAGCGAGAGTCCACGCCGCCACTCCTTCCCTCGGCCCTCGCCGCGGCCAGCGAAGACAGAGACACAGTCGGCTCCCAATCCCATGAGGAGGGTAAAAAGAAAAAGTCACAGAGGAAGGTGCTGAAGAAGGTTCGCAAGGAGGATGAGGTCGGCGGCGGCGGCAACATTCCGGGAGGTGCGGGAGAGCGTTTCAAGCCAGAGCCCCCAGCCGGCGGCGCCGCCGAGGCGCCTCCACCCGTACACTCGCCCAAGAAAGGAGCCAGGAAGAAGGCGCTTGATCGGAAGAGGAAACGCTCACGAGAGGGGGAATCAGACGTGTCGGATGAGGATCTGTCTGCCCCTCAGCCGCAGAACAAGAGGAAGCGAGGGCCCAGGACGCCGCCGCCGTCGATGAGGCCCGATCCCCGTGCTGCCGTGGGCAACATGGAGCCATCTCCTCTTCCCAAAATGGACAACTTTAGCGACTGGTCAGATGAGGAGGTCACGGACAGAGCGGCACCGCTGGAGACACAAACTCCTCCGGCTGAGCCCCTTAAGAGAGGCGCTGGTCCCAGAGTGGGCAGGGACAGGGAGCGGTGTCACCCTCCTGCCATCGCTCCCCTGCTCCCCCAAGATCCCCCGATGCTGCTGCCCACTCTGACCCCGCAGCCCCTCATGTCGCAGCCGCTGCTCCGCAAGCTTCCCCCGGAGCAGGCGCGCAGCAGCAGCATGGGGAGCAACCAGAGCCGCACGTCGTCCAGACGCCTGCGATCTCCCTCCAACGAGTCGGCCCACCGAGACGACCCCCAGGGTCCACGCGCCCGCCGGGGTCGGCTGCAGGGCGCCAACTCTCGGGACCGAGAGAGGGAAAGGGAGAGGCCGGTTGTGGGCGAACCTCCGGTGGTCGAGAGGAAGTCCCGAATTGACCAGCTGAGGAGAGCGGAGCCCAGTCGCAGCACCTCGTCAGGTAGATGAAGACGTGTCTTGACACTGTCCTTCCCCTTAAACGTTTCCTAAATGCTACTGACATGAGTTAAGCTGTGATATTAAATCAAGCCTGATCCGATCCGTCTCTGCTGTTTTAACAGACCGCCAGGACTCGCGCAGCCACAGCTCCAGGCGCAGCTCCCCCGACTCAGAGAGGCCGGCCAGGTCGGGATCCCGCGCCGGCTCCTACGACAGTCGAGAGCGGGAGAGAGACAGGGAGCCGTTTGAGCGGGAACGAGACCGAAAAGACCTCCGGCCTCAGCAGCCGCAGCAACAACCCCCGCCCACGCAGCCACAGCAGCAGCAGCAGCAACCACCACCAGCACAACAACTACACCAACAGCAGCAGCCCCTGCTCCTCCAGCAGCCCCTTCAACTGCAGAGAGACTGGGAGCCCGAACCCAGGGACTGGCCCAGCAGAGGACGGGAGCCCCTTCTTATGCGTCCTGGCCGGGAACCTCTCCTGAGGGAGCGGGACATCAGGGACAGGGAACGCCTGCTCCCCGAAGGACTCATCCAGCAACACGAGCGAGAGAGGGAGAGGGAGCGGGAGAGGGAGAGAGATGTTAGAGGCGGCGGCGGTGATCGGGAGAGGATGATGATGATGGACCTCCTGCCACACGGGGACCTCAGGCTCGCAGGGCGGGGAGACCTGCGGGGAGACCTGCGGGGAGACCTGCGGGGAGACCTGCGGGGAGACCTGCGGGGAGACCTGCGGGGAGACCTGCGGGGAGACATGCGGGGGGAGATGATAAGACAAGAGAGGAGCGACTTTGAGCCAAGAGAATGTGCCTATGTGCCAAGAGAAGTCTTCAGCTCTTTAGAGTTGGAGAAACCCATCAACAGTCACCATCTAATGGGAGATCAGAGGGAGCAGGAGAAGACGGACAGCATTGATGGTAAGACGATCACAACAGTTCCGCTGTGCTTTCGTCACTTTTTGTCAAATTTCCCACCTGGGTTTAAAGGAGTCTTCATGTTCTTAGGAGACGATGACGGGAAAGAAGACGAGTCAGTCACCTCCGTGGGAGAGGAGTATGAACCAATCAGTGATGACGAGCTGGATGAAATACTGGCTGACAGCCAGAAAAAAGAGGATCAGCAGGACGACGAAAAAATTACAGGTACCTTTTTTGAAGGGGAAGGATATTTACTTCCAAATGTCTTGGAAGAGGAAATGTTGTATTCATATGTTCATGTCGTTGATTTAATAATAATAATTACAAGTTTGAAATAGTTCATATGCCCGAGAAGAGCTTGTGCTCGCAGAGAAATTAATTCGCACCGCAGTCGTGTGAACGCTACTACAGCGAAGAGGGCCGCTGCTACACCGAGCAGTCACTATCGGGACAAACGAGGAGCGTCAATCCAACATAAATGCTATTCAATGTATGTTCAGTATCTTTAGTTCCTGCACTATTAGCATAAATTAAATGATTCATTTTTAAAAATCCAATAAATTAATACATACACTTCCGGCTCTTACAGAGACACTGTAAGCTTACTGCAAACTGTTAGCAGTTCATATATTCATAGTTTGAATTTTTTTTTTAATATGATGTAAGTGCACGTATTATATTCCTTTTTTAAACCAACATGAATACCATGTGTTGACAGGTCCTCTGGATGTCATCGACGTGGACTGGTCCAGCCTGATGCCCAAAACGAAGCAGGAGCCCCGGGCGGCGGGGGCAGCACTGCTCCGGTTCACTCCGGGGGCCGTGCTTCTGAGGGCGGGAATCTCTAGGCGCCTCGCTGGGCCCGAGCTGATGGAGCAGGTCAGAGAGGTGTGCAAGTCCGAGCTGGACGACCCCAAAGGTGAGATCTTTTTTTTCTCGCTTTCCTTGTGTTCCTTTTATTTTACATCGGAAACCTGAAACGGCACGTTAATATTGTCTTAACTTAACATTCTTGTATAGTGAAACGTTGTCCTTTCTGTCCTACCAGATGCCGACAAGCTGTTTGAGCATGACCTGGGGGCTCTGAACATGGCCGCTCTGAATAGGCGGGTGGAGAGGGCGGGTCTGCTGAGAAACCTCGGGCCCTGCTGCAAGGCCCTGTGTGCTCGGAGGGACTTCGCCATCCGCCGGCAGCTGTTAAAAAACGACAAGGTAGATGCCGCCCCGTCCCCGACGGGACAGCGGGTCGAATGCCGCGGTTACTGTGTCGGTCTTGTATATATTTTCCAACTTTTCTCTGAATGCCATTGGAACGCTGTTGGTACCTTTTGCATCTGCGTTGCTGAGAAAAACGTTTTGTTTGTGTAAAAAAAAAAAAATCTGCTTCTCCTTCTTCAGGGCCTAACCAAGCAGTACCCCGCCACGCCCGTGGTGGACAACGAGCTGCTGCAGATGAGCATGCGTCTATTCAGAAGGACCATGGCGGGCCAGGCCGCGGGCCCAGAGCGGTCCGACGCCGGCTCCGTGCCGGCGGCCGAGGTCGCTCCCGCCGGTGGTAGTAAGCTCGGCACGGCACAGCCCGAGGTGTGTGTGTCCTGAAAGAAATGTTTTTTTTTCCAAATAGTCGAAACGCGTGAAATCGAGCATGTCCGACTGTCCTCTTATTTCATGCACAGCATTTTTAGTCATGAGAGGAAATAAAAGAAAACGGCAAAATTGTCAATCTTACTCCATCATGCTTTACATGTATTTGATGATCCGCAATGTGCTGTGCTATAGACAACTGGACATTCAGGCCTATGAACCATGTATGAGAGGCATAAAAACACTTCTTAAACTACTTCTGTTTCGTGTGCATTGCGATGTTTTAGAGCAGCTTTTTAATTGTCGGTTTCACCTGCCTAACCGTGTTCAAATGACTTTTTTGTTTGTTGTGCATTGGTTACCACGACTGAGAATTAAAATGGTTAGATGTTCATTTTGTTTAACGGGTCTTTTGCTTTGTATGAAGTGACTGTTCAGCCTCAAACAATGTGATACTCTTGTGTTTAGATTTTTTTCTGCTTGGTTCATTTTTATAAAATATCTGCAGAGGAAATGGCAACATGTTTTCTGAGTTTCACCGACCAACAACACGGAAACATCCTGCAAGGACTTGAATGAACGTTTCCCACAAAAAAGCACTGTCCACCTATGCTTCATTGAATTTAATTTGATACAACTGTTAGTCTTTGGAGACATTTGATTACTTTTTTTCTTGTTTGTGTTGAATGGTTCGTCGATGTCTACAAACTGAACTGAGTGCAGTGCACACAGTAGACTTCAGATTTCCTTTTAACATTCACCAGCCCACATCCTTAAAAAAGAGCCCAAATTTCCAAGACAATAGACTGCTTCCTTTTTTTCTACTAAGTGACAAAGGATAATTAGTTTGAGATTCACGTCATGTTTCTGTGATTCCAGTGATCGACCATCCAGAGTCCAAATAAAAAGACTTGTACAGGTGGATAAACAGAACCTCTGGGACGTGGTTGCATCATCGGTCTTAGTTCAATAATTGACAGTGGGCGGAGGGGAAGAGGAGAAGTGCAGGTCATGCATGCTTTGAGTGCTTGGATACAAATCAATGGACAAAGCAGTGTCAGTGTTGCACTGAGCAACTTAAAGAACTTAACTTAATCAACGTGGCAGCTCCTCCTAGCCAAGCAACTGTGACTTGAAAGTGACATTACAGACAGGGGGTTCTGAAGCAGCCCACTATCTTAAAGTCTGGCCGCAACTCTTTTCTTACTACATATTTATTTTGTCTAAGGTAGAAGGTCAATTTTGAGATGTGCTGTTGATTACTGATTTAAAGCTGTACTTTTTTTTACTAAATAAATATTGTAATGACATTTTACCAAATAAGGGCAACTGTAGAACTAAATGAGTTATTAGGTTTGTCACATTACCAGTGATCCATGAGGCCGGTTACGAGATGCAATCATCTGCATTTTGAGGTAAGAATTTGAAATGTAACCACAACATTTTACGGATGCGTTTTTTTCCCCACACTTGACTGCCAGTCTGAGGAGGCACGCGGTTTATAACTTTTACAACTGTTTTATAATTAAAGCTTGCGGGCGTTACAGATAAGGTTCAATACTAGTGTTTTTAGGAAGGCCTGAGACCAGAATAGTGCAGGTGTCTGTTTCATACTAAATAAATCTAAGTGATTGTTAATGGTTGAAGTTCCTCTTATTACTGTCTGTCTTTATGTTAGTAATTAATGGTCCATTATGTTATAATACTATAATGCACTTATTGTAAGTCGCTTTGGATAAAAGCGTCAGCTAAATGACATGTAATGTATAATACCAGGTGGTTAAAAAAACAGGTCGTATTTAACATACCACATTTTAAGTGACATTTATTTATTTCAGAATGTTTATGCAGAATATAAAAGTGTACATTTCAAATTCATGGTTTGCTTATAACGTCAGATAATGCAAAGGTTTACATCCCCACGTCTCCATTATCTCAAATATGTTCATAAACGCATCCTCATTACGTACGGTCTCGGAACCTTGACCCGCACGTTTGTTGTACACGAACACCATACACAACGGACCGGCTTCCTTTACCCACAATCCTCTGCGTTTGGTCCGTCCTTCCGACTTCCGCCGCAACTACAAGCCGAAGTGAGTATTTTTTCGGAAATTATATTTCTACAATCTATCACCATCCTGCCGTATTAAAGACCGCACTGACCGCGTTCTTTTTCAAAGTCTTAACCTTAGCGTTGCATCGTCCTGAGTGTGGGTTTTTTGGTCTCTTTTAATATATTAAAAGACGTTTAATGTTGAAGAACGTTGCGGCGATGATTCGACCGTAATGGCTTCAGTTAGCCCGCTTTCACAGTGCCCACTTTAAGCTACAAAGAGCATTTTATTGTTTCTACGTGAAACCACTGGACACCTTTTTAACTGCAGTTGTACCGTAGTGCTGTTTATCTTATTAGCCTGTTAGCTAGCTGACGTGAAGTAACGTTAGTGAGAACAAGCTAACTTTGTGCTAATGTTAGATATTTTGTGATCCATCAAATAGATGCGCTGTTAAGTCTCCCTTAGTAATCCTTCTTGGAGTTAATGTTTCTCCGATCTGATGGTAGTTAACCAAGTTAAGTGTATGTAACTTCAACACTTGACATAGCATCTGTATGCTGAAGCAGTGATCCCCGTATGTTTCTAGATGGCCCCAAATAAGAAAGGAGAGAAAAAGAAGGGGCGTTCAGCCATCAACGAGGTTGTGACCAGAGAGTACACCATCAATGTCCACAAGCGCATCCATGGAGTGTGAGTACTACATTGGTGTATTATAATGTGTTAAAGGGACACTATATTTTTTGACATTCAATTTTGTTATCTCCTTGCAGTGGTTTCAAGAGGAGGGCGCCCCGCGCCATCAAGGAGATCCGCAAGTTTGCCATGAAGGAGATGGGAACTCCTGATGTCCGCATTGACACTCGCCTTAACAAGGCAGTGTGGAGCAAGGGTGTCAGGTGTGACAATATGCCAGTAATACTCTTGTCTGAGGAATAGAATGCTCAGCCTTCCTAGCCATGCATATCATAGTATACCTACCCTCACCTTGCAGGTTCCTGCTCGTAGTAGTATGCGGGGCAGGAAGAGGCTGAATTTGTATCAATTAAATACCTATGCTGGGAAATCATGTTGTTACAATCCTACAGGTTCAAGCAAACTTTTTTTTTATGGACTTTTTTTGCCTGCTGGGGACCATTAAAAAAAATAATAATCTTGCACTAATGTCGTATAAGTTAAAATCACAAATTGTATTTCCTTTTTTGTCTGCTGAGACAAGACGTGCATTTTTGTAGCGAGGCCTGACACGTCACATTGGTTTATGATTTTTAGTGTGTGGAAAGTGAACATGCCAAAATTACTGTCAGGATGAATGTATACAAGGTGTTTGGGGGAGTTGTACTTGCTCTGATTCAATAATGTCTGCGACATATTTGCTGACCATTATAATACTGGCGGCAATATATTAAATTTGAGTTTGAATTTAGTTACCAGTGTTGTTTTGTGCCGCGCAGGAACGTGCCATACAGGATGCGCGTACGACTGTCCAGGAAGCGTAATGAGGACGAGGACTCTCCCAACAAACTGTACACCTTGGTCACATACGTACCTGTCACCACATGCAAAGGTAAATACGCCACTAACTGACACTGTCATTTGCCTACTAAGCAATAAAGACGTTGACTAAACTTATACCTCTCCTTTTTTCAACAGGTCTGCAGACAGTCAATGTTGATGAAAACTAAACTCTGCGAGTCGAATAAATATAAAAGAATATCTTGTCTTATGTCTTTACTTCTGTTTCTGCACTTAATCTTATGGTTAAACTGTTTTCAATTTGTATTCAGTTTAATGTATTTCTGTAAATATAATTACCGTATTCCCAAAAACGTTTGCCAAGCTCACTGGACTGCATCTGCCTTTTCACATAAAGACAACAGTTTCAAATATGCAGACAGACCAACTACCTTTTTACTACAATGGGAAACTGTTGGTGTTTTTAAAAAATATATTAAGTTACAAAATGTCTTTTCAGGTCAATTAGGAGATGTTATGGATTTTGTACAATTTATCAGTATATATCAGTAATGTCGTAGGTTGTTGAAATGATACACATGCATTTAGGGTTATTCCACTCCCGGCTGCAGTATATATGCGTTATACAAGACAACGGCATCATATTTCCTCTAGACTTTGAAGTTGCTTTAACAGAATTCAGGTAAGTCTAGCAAGGTTTAGGTGCTTGTTATAGGACATTTAAATAATGAACCCCACCGATAAGGGTTAGTTAGCATTGGTCAGGTTGCCTGCATTCAAGTCAGCCCGCATGTTATCTTGCGCAACGCGTATATAGGGCATCACGGTAGTAGCGTGTAAGAACTGACTTACAAATAAGCATTTCCATTTGATTCTGTAAATCACATACATTTACAAACATTTTCCTACTTGGGATTGATAGCAGACCACAGAGATTATCAGGTTAAACGCCATCTAAAATATCGTCAGATACATTGCGGTGTACCAATTTAAAATTTAAGACACTCATTCATGAGCCAACTGGTCTGTCTAAATGTATTTTTTATTAATATATTTGACTAGACTAGAAGTAATTACACAATTGAATTGACATATTTTCTCCAGTTTGCATGCGAAAATTATAATTCTGCTCAAAGCTATGATTTATAGACTGTATATCATACACATTGAATCTATTTTACTATTTTGAATGTATTCTCTTTATATGATTCGCAGACTCATTGAAGCAATGTGATATGTTCTATCACGTTCACCGGAACTGCACTTATTTTGAAGTCAGTTCCTAACTTTACCATTACCGTAATGCTCAGTAGTACGCACGCGTACCGCAAAATAACGTGCGCGTTGGCCTGACTGTGTTTATCCAAGTGGAGGCTGGGTGGACCGCCTTCTCCTATCTGGGAGGGACAGGAGTGGCTAGCTGACTGGCTAGCTGGTTAGCGTGAATATAGTAAACGGCCGCTACTGGTTGTTGATAGCTAGATAACCGATGCCGATGCCGTTACGTTTCGACGTCGGTCTCCATAACCCGGTTCGTTTACTCTCGACGCGTCGGTGCCATCAGTCCCGTTACCCGACGCACAGTGAAGCTAACGGATAAGCTAGCTTGTCAAGCCGCCCCGCGGTGCGCTCGCTCCCTGTATGTCCAGGTGTTGGAGCGTCGCTCGGGGTTCTCATGGCCGTTGGTTGACGGGCGAAGCGATGCGGCACCACTGGCTGCTCCTCGGGGCTTGCGGCTGGGTTCTGCTCATCCTGATGTTCGTCAGCAAGTTCATCGGCTTCAGAGCTGTGGATGGTGAGCAGATGAGTCGGACATTGTTTACCACGGGCAGCTGTAGGAGGTGAATGCGATCCACCCTGACCAATGTGTGTTTCCAGATTACGGAGGGAGGGTCGTTGGTCAGAGTTGGACAGTGCAAGGCACCAAGGTGGTCAAACCCATTCCTGTTTCCAACCCAGTACAACCCGGTCCAAAGCCATCTGATCAGGTGACTAACCCAGCTGATTGCTCTCTATACTCACTTTTTTTAACAAAGGCTCTCAATCACATTATTGCTGTACGTGTGTGTGTTTGTCAGCCCTCACCAGTCCCCTCAGTGACCGACTGGCAGTCCGTCGTCGAGAGTCGGCTCGAGTTGCTCTCCAATGTGTGCAAGAACAGCAGCTTTGCGAACACGACTCATGCTGCCATCAGCAAGTTTGTCCTGGACCGCATCTTCGTCTGCGACAAACACAAGATCTTGTTCTGCCAGACGCCTAAAGTGGGCAACACGCAGTGGAAAAAGGTCCTCATTGTGCTCAATGGTGAGTAAGGGTCATTGGCAGGTAATAACCTTTTGTAGACAACAAAACCCTGGTGCCGACGCACAAGGTATGTTTGTTTAATAATTTGGTTGATGCCTTGTGTCGATAACATCGGCAGGAGCGTTCCCCACTGTGGAGGAGATCCCCGAAAACCTTGTTCACGACCACGAGAAGAACGGCCTTCCGCGTCTCTCGTCCCTCGCGCCGCAGGAGATCACTCACAGGTTGGTCCAGGGACTAGGTCGCACAAAATCTCCCCTCCTCGCCACTTTTTTTTCTTTTCTCCTTCCATAAAACCATTGTTTGTCTCAACAGATTAAACACTTACTTTAAGTTTTTCATCGTGAGAGACCCCTTCGAGCGGCTGATTTCGGCCTTCAAGGACAAGTTTGTGAAGAACCCGCGCTTCGAGCCTTGGTACAAGCACGACATCGCCCCGGCCATCATCCGCAAGTACCGCAAGATCCACCGCGACGGCGAGCTCGCCGCCTCCGGCCTGCACTTTGAGGACTTTGTCCGTTACTTGGGCGACGCGGAAGGCCGCCAGCGCATGGACCGGCAGTTCGGCGAGCACGTCATCCACTGGGTGACCTACGCGGAGCTGTGCGCGCCCTGCGAGATTCACTACAGCGCGGTGGGCCACCACGAGACGCTGGAGCAGGACGCCGCCCACATTCTCAAAGCTACGGGCATCGACCACGCGGTGTCCTACCCCGCCATCCCCCCAGGCATCACCCGCTACAACAGGACCAAGGTGGAGCAATACTTTGCGGGCATCAGCCGGCGGGACATCAGGCGTCTCTACGCACGATACCAGGGGGACTTCCAGCTGTTCGGTTACCCGATCCCTGACTTTCTACTGGACTAAAAACTGATTAACGCAGCCTTAAGATTTTGTGTGTGTGGGGGGAGAGGGGAGTCAATGGGAAGGTAAAATACAGGCGTTGCTACCTTTTTATATTTAATGATCTTGAATGACCGATTGTCTTAGAGAGAGGTGTTCTCTGTAGTTCCAGGGATACAGACCTGTTGCCCTGTAATGTAGCTACTGTACTGGACCGTACGGGTGGCCGTGTCATCGGAAGAGGGGGGCAGCCATAGGTCAGTGCCATGCGTTTTGACACGTTCCGTCTTTTCTGTACCTCTTGCTATCACGCTAGACATAGGCAGAGCTACCCTGTATCAGGGACTTTTTTTGGTATAAACGTTAGGCTTAGAAGACAAACATATAGGACATCAGCGTTTTTCACAAATTAGCTGTTTATTATTTTGTTACAGGGGTCATTTGGGTGTTTTGGGTTGTATGTGATTCACTTACTCAGCGTCAGTTCATTAACCCCCCCCCCAGGACATGACTCTTGACACACCCCATGTTTGAAGAAACAGGGAGGCATTACTGCACTGAAACAAAGCAAGTTGACTCTACGTACATGAAACACTAAACATTATACACTTAAAAGAAAAGGCCCACTAAAGGTAAAGGCTGACGATGGATCCTTACCTCATACACCCAAACTACCCTATTAACGTCTTGGAAGATGCTATAGTACTCTTCAAATATCATGAAATACTTACACAATGAAGCAAAGGCTATAGTCCTTAGTGTGTCCTTTGTGAGATTGATTAAAGACTGCTTTTCTTTTTCAGCTGTTAACCGCACCGGGACATTGAAGGAAATTGGCACTGGATTTTACAGGATCATTTTTCCATCAGAGATGTTTGAATGTTATTAGCGTCTCTCGCCACGCAACATTTCTACTACATTTTGCTATTTATGATATGTAATTATTAACCCGGCACCAACAGTGTAGGACTCTGCCACCTGGGGACTTTTTTGGACAGGTGATTATAACACAAGTAACACGACTCTGTATTAAAGTTCCATGTGAATTGATGTGCTGTTCCTTCTTTTTTTATTTTAATTGTGTGTTGGTTTAAGGCATATTTACCATTAAGGACGTGGCCCATATCTTGTTTGTTGCTGCATTAACATCAAACATCCACCAGGCGGCAGTAAAAGACCTACGATGTTACAATATGACTACTTCGTTAAGAAAAACCACAAACCCTTGTTGAAGCCTTTCACTAAATGTCGTCTCACAGTTGTTGCTATGGACATTTGAGACATGGAAATAGGGACAAAGCAATGACTTTATAGCCATAAGTCAGCAACAAACACCTCAAGACAGATGGAGCAGTATCTAAAGTGCAAGCTAACCTTTTATCAGATGGACTTAAGTTGTATCACGGACCATAAAACATAATTCTTACACAGACTAAAGGATTTGTGTGTTTTTTTCTGTGTGTGCGCTCGTGTGTCCTTCCTTCCTACTGCCAGGTTGCCTCTCTCAGCCTGTCAGACTGGTTCGGCCTGCGCCCTGTATCTGTACACTATGTCTATTGTGGGTTTGCAATAATGAACTGGAAGGCTGCAGCTGAACACGTGTTCCTGTCTGCAGCAACCTTAACACAACACTCTCAACTTTGTAATTGATAGTAAACATCCAAGTAACATCAATATATTTTAATTTGCACCATACTAGAAGCTTGAGGCTGAACGACTTACCCCTGCCCTCACGGGGCAGAAAGATGACGTCAGTGATGACATCAGCGGTTGCACCACATCGCGTGCTTCGATTGAGCTCTAACAATTTACTGTGATATATATTCTAATTTTAATAAATACCTAAGAATCATCACAGAGCTCTGCCCCGCAGAACATCACTGACGAACACGATGTAATGAGACACTGTTATTTAGTTAGAAGGTTTAAAAGGTCGTAAAACCAGCTGTCTTACATTTGAACGTCGCTATGATACAAGTAATGAATGCTATTTGCAGTCCCATGCTGCATTAACATGCCCAGCATCACTCCTGAGATTGCTCGTTTGCCACACCCATGCTCACCAATATTGACACTCGATAATGCGCATGTCCACAAGGATGCTGTTTGTTTGGAGGGGGGGGGGTTGCTCTGTCGGTGCCGCCCCATAGCTCGTGTGAGTTGTTTACAGGTAAACATTCATGCTGGTACAACAGTGGTTAACTCGAGCGTGTGTGTTTGGACAGTGCGTTGAAAAAAAGCCTCCATGCTCGATGCGTTGAGGCCCAGCCCTTTTCTTTCTGTGCGGAGCCACCCGGCTTCCTGTGTTTGTGCGATTCTCAAGCGAAGCTGCGTCAAGTCGGACGCAAGCAGGCGGGACGCGAGCGGAAATGGAGCGGTTTTGCTTTCAACGTAAAAGATTGAAAATAAGAACATCAATCGGTTTAAACCCCGGAAAGCCGGTTATTCTTTATGTCTTTATGAATTATTTCAAACGTGTTTAATTTTGAAATAGTGCTATTGTTTCCCTCAAACTACACATTGTTAATAGTAAGAATTGGAAAGTAACTACATTCACTACGTAAGGTATTTAGACACTGTAGTTTAAATGTTGAGGTATACTTAATTCCCTTTTTATATTAATTTCCATTTTATGCGGTTAGAAACCACCTTTTGTACTAAATATCAATGAGGAATAAGGCATACTTCAACCCTTTGCTTTCACCATCAATTGATTTACAGATGTTGCCCAGATGTGTCATACTGATTATTATCAACAAAAGAAATAGGATACTGTTATAAATTCAACTCAATATACAATATAAAGCAGTGGTGGATTTAAATTGTTTGTATGAAAAAAGCACATACTAACAGTGGGACAAAAACACAGACAAAATGGGTTATTCTTCCTGCTGAATACTTTCTTTATATGTATATTTCTTTATTGTATTATATTTAGGACGCTATGTTTACACTAAAGTCTTTCTACCTCTACTTAAATTAAAGATCTAAGTAGTTCACTGGCTAATGTGAGCACACTTTGATAAGACGCATCAGGAATCAGGAATCAGGAATCAGGAAACATTTATTAGCCAAAATATGTCAAACATACAAGGAATTTGTCTTGGCGGTTAGTGCGCGACAGTAGACAGACAAGACAACAGTGCACAAGTAATAAAATAAAGTGGAATGAAATGCTAATGCAATGGGTTAGTAAGAATAAGGCTAAGGCTATGGGTTATATAAAACAAGGGAATACAGTTAAAAAAATTTAAATATTAAAAAGTTAAAAATAAAAATATTAAGCATAAAGTGCACTAACGAACAAGTAACAGACAAGAGACAAAGTGACAAGTGACAAAGTGATGAATTGCAGTTAAAGTGGCATGTGCAGTATGAGGGGGAGTGACCGGTGGAGTGTTATAGTCAGGCAGTGGGGGACCGGGCTCTGTTGATGAGCCCGACTGCCGACGGGAAGAAAGTGTTCGTGTGGCGGGAGGTCGTAGTCCTGATGGACCTCAGCCTCCTGCCAGATGGAAGGGGCACAAACAGTTTTTGTCCGGGGTGGGAGGGGTCGGCCGCGATCTTTTAGGTCGCTTCAGAGACCTGGAAGCGAACAAGTCCTGCAGGGACGGCAGATTGCAGCCAATCACCCTCTCCGCAGAGCGGATGACACGCTGCATCCTGCCCTTGTCCTTGGCTGTGGCTGCAGCGTACCAGACGGTGATGGAGGAGCAGAGGATGGACTCGATGATGGCTGTGTAGAAGTGGACCATCATCGTCTTTGGCAGGTTGAGTTTCTTCAGCTGCCTCAGGAAGAACAACCTCTGCTGAGCCTTCTTGGTGATGGAGCTGATGTTCAGCTCCCACTTGAGGTCCTGGGTGATGATGGAGCCCAGGAAACGGAAGGAATCCACAATAGTGACGGGGGAGTCACACAGCGTGATGGGGGAGGGTGGGGCTCTGTTCCGGCGGAAATCCACAACCATCTCCACTGCATGGCCAAGGTTAGGGTTCATGAAGGTTATAGATTCAGAATAGATTAATTATCATATGCACAACTATTTCAGAAAAAACACCCGATGCCGATGCAATGCTTGGATCTAAGATTTACTTTGCAGTTTTTCATGAGTAAATCTTAAGCCACCGGCTAATGTAAGCACACCTTGATAAGACGCATGGTCCTTGAAGGTTATAGATATGCATTATCGTATGCACAACTATTTCAGAGAAAGCAGCCGATGCCAATACGAATCTTGGATGTAAGATTTAAATGAAGGTTTTATAATATAGTCGTGTAAAGTACGTAAAAAATAAAGACAAACAAATGTAAAAATGTGAATCTATGACTTAAAACAGGACACAATTGAATATGTAAGGATACAGTAAATTAGTAAGTAAGTTATGAAGTCCACAACCAACATATTACTTATTATTTTATAAAAATAAAAATACGATAGAAAAAATAACGTCGTGTCTTTGGATTGAAAACACAGAAAGGGAGCCACCTATTGGCGTCGATGAGGCTTTTATTTTGAAACCGAGGCGGAAGCGTAGGGTTTGAGCGTTCGCGGCAGGAGCAGAGAGAGCGAGAGATAGCGGACAGGGAGCCGCTGGTGCCACCTCAACATGGAGTAGCGAGGAGCACGAGCGCCTACTGCTCACAAGCAGAGCCCACGGAGAGGAATTAGCGCGACGGCTTCTTGCCCTGTTTCGTCCGCCGAAGGCCCCTGCAAATGATACAGCGGCGACATATTGTTTCCTGAACGCACAAAGGGGGGTGGGAGGCCTTTTTAATTTGAAAGATGGCGAACGACTCTCCGGCTAAAAGTCTGGTAGACATCGACTTGGCTTCACTGCGGGTGAGTGGTGCCCCGAACCGAGCCGATGTTTCTTTCTTCGTGTTTTTTTTTCGCCTTCATCTGTTCCACGTTCGCTCGGTTCGAACACACGGCCCGACGGACGATAGCGAGTTTAAAACGGCCTCCGATGAAATGCTCGTTGTTGCTCGAGCCGAAAGTATTGGGAGAGAAGAAGGAGGAAAAAAAATGACCGTTGAGCCGTAGCGAGGTGTTGCCAGTGTCTGTTCCTTTGTTCCACATGCATTTTTTTTGGCATGTGGGGCAGACCGGGGCTCAACAGCTGGCCCGCACGGGACAACGTTCCGTATGAAATGACTAAAACAAACCAAAAAATAAAAATATTATCGCTATGTGTTTCTCTCTGAATGGCCTTTCTTGTCTCGTTCTTTTTCCAGGATCCAGCCGGGATATTCGAGTTGGTGGAGGTGGTGGGAAATGGCACCTATGGACAAGTATACAAGGTCGGTGGTGTGAGGCGCGTTGCGTGGTTTTCCCCCCACTGTGTTCGCTCAGGGTAGATGGTGTTTATGTTTATTTTTTACCAGTAATCACACCTGGGGACAAAGTAATACAGCCCCCCCCTTCCCCCCATCCCTTTCAGATGTTGCTATCAGGCCACCTCGTGGATGACTAAGCTGAAAGCACCAGATGCAATGCGAGTCTAGTTTGCTTTATGTATCAGTCTGATCTAAGTTCGTTGGTCTGTGTGTGTGTGTGTGTGTGTGTGTGTGTTTAAGGTGTGAATCAGACAGTCTGAAGCATCGACCTGCTCCTAACGTTCTATCACCTGTCGTCTTGAAAAGCAGGCGATGAGGCAATGAAGGAGAAACTAGATCTGTCATAAGACAGATCTCGCTGAGCTCACATCTCTCTCGCTCTCTTTGCAGCTTTTCTGTTTAATTTTAAGTTTTTCATTTTCATATCATATCTTTAATTAAAAAAATAAATCTGTCATTTTGTTTGCGGTTCACTGGATGGGAATCCCACTTTTTGGCCCGTCTGCTCTCCGTGTCACATTTCTCGGATGAAAATGAACATTGCTGCCGATGAAAGCGGGGGAGAGACCCGGCGAGGGGGGGGGGGGGCAGTCAGGCAGTCTTAAGATGTGGTGGAGTTGTCTAATGGAGGGGTGGCCTTGGATTGGAGGCACATTTGTCCCAGTTCTGTTGCGATGGGCATCCCTGTGTTGTTGTTGCTGCAGCTAGCAAAGGCTCCATTTTGTTCCCCCCCCCCCGCTGCTACACTGGAAAAAGCCATTTGGATGAGTCTATATTCTGCTAGCTCACCCCTCGGTCGGCCGGTGGAAGCCAGAGAAGAACGTAGAGGGAGGAAAAAAAACTAACGAAAAAAGTCCACATCAACCTGCTTGTGCGCTAAGCAGCAGGCTTAGCTGAGTGTTTAATTCTGACCCACAGTGCTCCAGTGACCTGCATTCATCTACCCCCCCCCCCCCCCTTCTTATTCTCCTTCTTGAATTAACAAATGAAAAACCGAAAGCTCGGTTTTGGCCTGCCCCCCCGCCTTTAGGCCTCCTCTTGCAGACCCCTTGAAAAATGGACCAGCGACTTTCTCTGGGATTTATTTTTTTACTTTTGTGGGGGCTGACGAGACGTGAACAACTTACCCCGTGCTAATTCTATGTGCAGGGGTTGCTGCGTGGGGATGTGGCTCGCACGAGAGTGGGTTGTCAGATTAGTGCTGACAACCCCCCACCCCCCCCCCAAATCCCCCAAAAGAAAACTGTGTGCACCAGTGTTCGGCTGTAGGCCTAAAAAAACCCTGCCTTTTGATGATCAGCTGTCGGTCACTGTATTGACTGTCATGTTATCCAGTTGAATGAGCATGTGGCCTGGAGGGGTTGGGGGTGGGGGGGGGGGTTACAGCTGGTATAAGCTGAGCTGCCCAGTTGCAGACAGAAACTTCCCACCACTCTCACAAAGCTGAGTTTGTCCTCGGTCTCTCAGTCCCGTCCGTCGGTTGGATCCACAGAAAGGAGGAGTTTGTCTGCAGTTTTTTTTTTCCCTTTTTCTTTTCTTTTCTTTTTTTTTTTTTTCAAACACCAACCGACTGAATAATCCCTCGAGCCCCCCAGCTGACGACCATGGGTGGAGTTTCTTCTTCCTCGGAGGCCTTTTTCTGCTTTGTCAAGCACTTGGTCGCACATTGCAAGGCCTTTTTTTTTTTTAGGTCACACAATGTGACTAAGCCCCTTCGCTCTTTCTGATTCCCTTTGGGTTATTTTTAAGATTAGAGGAATTTGTAGATTAGTGGAATTTCTGATCAGGTTTAATATATCATTTCAAGTTGCATTCCGCAACAAAAGTCTATAAAAGCGCTGTTAACGCTTTATTTATTTCTGTGCAAAATGTCTGCCGTCTGTAACTCCGAGGTGATGTTATGATGCGTTTCCCTGCTTCTCCTTATACCTGGCCCATCACCCTCGGTCAGATTGGCTTGGTCTTATTCTTGGTTAACCTCCTAAATTTAAATAACAATTTTTATAGAAAAACATTCAACACCAACTACTAAGACTTTCCTTGTTTGCTGAAAGAAAGGCTGCAAAGACAATTGATTGCAACCCATACCATTTTGTGTAACCAGCAGATATTTATTAAAACCTTCAGTAACTGATCAGTGGAAGATAGTGTTTTTGCCACATGCACTCAAAGGCGTTCTTATAATAACACGTTCATACCCACACTTTGAAAAGCGAAGCTCTCAATGAAAGTCTTTCTCCGCTTGGCTTCTTATCAGATGGCGCTGAACCAGCTCACTCTGCACGCTATCTCCGGTGCCTCGCTCTCCGTGTAGGAATTACAAAAGGGCAAAGAGTTAAAAGAAATGGAAAATTCATCATTCCCCAAATTTTGTGTGGTATGCACGGAAAGATTTCCTCAGCTCCACAATAAGGCCGTATATAGTCAGGCCTCAGGCAGCGGAGCCCCTGCTGACCCCCCCCCCCCCCCCCCCCCCGCCCCCTCCCCATGCCCCATGGGGTGCAGCCACTCGTATTTTAATACTGTAACATCCCCATGTTTCATGTGCACGGATGTGTGCGCGTGTGTCCCCGATGGTTCAAAGCTGTGGTGAATTGACTTGGGCGGGTCCACTCGTATGGACTCGCTCATAATCCCTCGCAAGGTTGTGTGGTTGAATAACCACAACATGGAAAGATTGTGCACAGACACTTCAATTACCAGGCTTTTATCTCATAGGCTCACTTGGTGATACCACATGCTAATGACAACCCCCTCACCAGCAACCCCTTTCAGGTGCAGCTTTCTACTTTATTCCTGTGCTCTGTCCTCCATCTCCTTCCTTTGTTTTCTCCTGCAACCGTAGGGGCAGCCTCGCAGCCTCGCCCCTACGCCCCCCAGGACAAGAAGCGCTCTCTCTCTCTCCTTCGTGTGGGGGGTGGGGCGTTATCTCCACCTGATGGCCACACGTGTTGGGAGCTGAGATGGGAGGCATGTACATATCTGTTGAATGCCCGATGCGAAGAGTGTCGCTTACCTGGAGAGCCTCGGTGATGCTGCGTCAACTCACCCGGAGAGGAGGCGGGAGATTTTTTTCCCCTCTAACGCAACGGCCTCAGTCATGTGCCAAAGCACGACCAATAACCGATTATTACATTGCAAATTGGTCAATCGCTGTCAATATTCGATTATATACGGGGGAAAAAACGTTTTTGTTGAGGATATCCCCAAATGGGTTTTTTATTTGGCAGATTTCTTGCAGTTGAGCAATAAACTGAATCGTCAGTGTTGACAGTGTGGTCTATATATTTGGTATGACGGATGCACAGTATCTTTATTTCCATGTAGGAGAAACGGCATCTTCTTAGTATTTCTATACAATAAAATGCAACCGGCGGAGGGGGCCGTGCAATTCAGCGTTTGGCGTATTTCCACCAAAGAGCGTTTGTAAAAGTTTACCAATGTGTTGGTATTGAAATATTAAATCTGTGTTTGGCGACTGTAATTGGGTGGAAATAATGAAAAGGTAAAAATGGCTCTGCAGCAATTGATTTGTACTAATTCCTGCAGCAGCAGCAAATGAATGAACACATTCATGACTTGTTGCTGGCAGAGTGTCGGATGAGATGCCGTCGCCAGGGTTGTAACGAGCGATTCCTGCGCACGGATCATTTGTAACGGTCTCCAGGAGCCTGCGCGCCGCTTTGAGGTCGGACCCGGCGCTTGTTGAACGCATCAACCGGCTGTTAACGATGTGTCGCGCTTGCGCTCTTTTATCTTCAATCCACACGCCGTGTCAGCGCACGGGCCAGGAGTCACATTTGTTTGTGCCCGTTTTTAAATGGCTGAAAAACGCGTCACGGAAAAATGTCCCGCTCAAGTCGAAGCGAGCACGCCCTCCTCGGCTCTGCCTCCTCTCACCGGGCAGCGTGCATCTCTTTTGTCCCCCTGTCTCGACCACGGTGACCCTTGCCCTAATGGGTGTCACAAGACCCACGGCGTCCCCTGACTGTCCACGCCCGTCTGAACAAACCTCCCTGTGTGTGTGTGTGTGTGTGTGTGTGTGTGTGAGTGTGAGGCTCATTGACAAACCTCGTCACCCAGATAATGTCTGGATGAGACACAAAGGCTCTGGCTGTCTCCCGCCTGTCTCTCCACATTTCCTCTGGTCTTCTCTTGGGGACGAGATGATTTCATCTTTTCTCAGTCCAAATCAGGGGTTTTCTACGGGGTTAATTCCAATAATTTTTTTAAGACCCACAGGGTTCAATGAGGAAAGACACTGCAGAATCGACCTTGCGCGTGTTGATTTCAGTCTGGACGTGACGTGTGTCTCCTCTGTGCTCTTGACTGCAGCTGGACTGCTTCAGTCACGTCACGTCAGACACCACAAAAGTCTCCAATAAAACCAGATACGGTCGCTGGTCGATTTGACAAGAAGTCTGCAAGAGGATTTGGAAAGTCAATGTACCAAACAACGAAGGAGCCTGCGCATGCGCATATCTTAAGTCATCATTTTGACTTTGTAACCCTTTTTTTGTGGCGGAAATGGGCTTACATACATTCCTGCTAAATGCTGCCAAAAACCGACGCAAACAGCTAATTTATCAGATTGTATGTTATTTTAATTAGATCATGTCAGGGCTGTGTTTTCTCACGTCTAGAATCTCACACGCATCTTTCCCTGCTTTTTAAAACCCGCAAACAGCTCTAGTGGATTAATACACCCTTTAATTGTAATGTTTTGATTCCTCATAAGGCCTGCGCATATTCTCCACATGCAGCTTGGATCCTTTACAGCACTCAGCCACTGCACTGCGATCGATAGACGTACAGTCGCATTAGCTGACCCGAGGCTCATTTGAAACTTCTCTCCTCCTCACTTCCTGTTTGCGTCTGTTAATCTCCGTCCTGTCCCACCACCACTTCTTTCTCTGTCTTCACTATCAACCCTGGCTTCTCTGGAGAGTGCCAGAGCACGGGGAAGAAAGGCTGTGTGTGTTTGTGAGAATTGGGTCAGTGTGCTGGTGTGCAGTTTAAAGTGGAATAGCCCAGAGAGGCGGAGTTACAGTTCTTGGAAGTCATGTGTCACGGTTTACTGCCGATTGATCATTTCTTGTATTCATGACGTCCATCATGACGTGTCGGGCCACGTCTTTCATCGCAGGCCTGCGAGGTAGCCCGCCCCCCCGCCTCTTTTAGATCTTTGCGTGACCCTCACTCCCACGCCTCCACCAGTGACCTTTTTGAAGAACCAAACCGTGGCGCCCAGCAGCTCTCCCTACCCTCCCTCGCTGCGTGAACTAATAATATGAAACCGACTTTGCGTCGCACCTACAATGCTGGTTCAAAAGCATGTCGCTCCATTTCAGTGCTCGGTTAAAGTAGGTCGACCTGGTTTGATAGCCAGCCGGCATTTTGAAATGGCTTCTAAGTGTGATTGATCTCCGTTAATGTGAACTGTGTAGTTAGCGAGAGGTTATTTTGTCTCCTGGTCATGTAGAGGAAACCAGCCTTGGGGAAGAGTGCTTCACTCCCCCTTCTTCCGCAACCGCCTCGTGGGGCCGCCTTTCAAAGGATACTGCTCAGTGAGAATCCACCCTAAAACACAAGTCGCTGTTTTTTTCACCAAAGGCGATCTTGAGTCGACGTGATCAAGCCTTTGTGTCCCTGCAGAAGTGTAAACAGAATGGTAGATGTTGTTTTGGGGTGGAGTTTGACTGGAGTTTAATGCTAAGCTGGACGGAGGCCCGCAGCACATCTGGCCATGGTTTAGAGGAGTAGAGAAGGAGGCCAGGGAGGGCAGAGTGATAGCTCGGTGCCTTAAGATAACATTTTTCTATTCTAAATCCAATCATTACTTTGTCTAATTCATTCATCCTCTTCAACTTTCTGCTCACGAACAAAGCAAGTGCATTTAAGGCACCAAGCTCCTCGTAGTGACACCTTTGACCAGTGGACCCAGTGCAGTGGGATTCAGGCAGCAGCTAGAGCATGGGGGAGGGGGGGGGGTAGATGGCCGTGCTTTCAGCATCAGTTTTTGTTGTAGTGGCGTCCCCTGGGATCAAAGTGAAGAGGATTAAAGGCATTGCAAAGTGTGTGTCCCCACGGCCTCCCCTTTCCCACTGAAAAGAGAGGGGGCCCCTAAGCCTGCATGGCTTTTATTGTCATAATCCATAGTTTCAATTGACTATGGAATGCACTGGCTAAGATGATGGTGGGGTTGTTTGTTTGTGGGGGGGGGGGAGATCCACATGTGTGTGCATGTGTTTGAATGTGTCTTTATTTTAACCTATAAGCGTGCATGAGGTCCGTCCAGCGCATCGGCGTGTGTGTCCCTCCCGTACTGCGGAGACTCGGCAGCACTTTCACTGCAGTGAGCTCCCAAAGAGCTAGAAGGCGAATACCCCGACTGGGCCAGTGCCCAAAAATCTCTTGTTTTTTCTCTGGTCGGGAGGTGGGAGGGAGGGGTCGTACAGAGGCCTTTATTTTGGTCCTTTGTTAATGTAGGAGTGGCAGTAGGGTGTTAGGAGAGCAGAGAAGTCTGGGAATGCTGGGGTTATATAGCTCCATCGGTGGTTTGTACTGTATATACCAGGTTTATTTATACCGTGAGACTTGCAGTCCAAAACCCAAAGATATTCAAATTACAAAAACATTACATGTCTGGCATTTCATTTTACTGGAAAAGGGATTGATTTAGTCTGACACCCAGATGAAACTGACAACCTCACGTCTTACGAGGCCTGATGTTGATTTAAAAGCCGCAGCATTAGCAGCAACAACAACAACTGCATTTACAATATTCAAAACCACTGATATTAGTTCCAGGTCTCTACAAATGTGTCATTTCAATCAGAGTACAATAAGTGGACACTCAACTCGTTTTTGTCTCTTCACAGGGACGACACGTCAAGACTGGACAGCTGGCTGCCATCAAAGTCATGGACGTCACAGAGGTAAGGGTGTATTCATGGTAACAACGTAATAAACAGCAGGGGCGGGGTCACCGGGGCAACATGATGCTTAATGGTGGCCAGCGATGTGCAGATGAGAGAACGCACACATGCAGAAGCACAAAGCCGGAGGCCTGAGAGTAGCAGCAAAGTCCTGCTGAGGACCCCACCCACGCAGAAACATTAAGGACGGACGAACACGTAGTGTGACGACGCGCACCAATAACGGGCTTCGCCCGCTGAATTCTGACGAATGAGTCACACTTGCGGCGTCCTTTGAGGGGAGGTCACCGACGAGATTTACCTAACCCATCGCTTCCCCTCGCGAAGACACGTTCGTCGCTATTGAGGGCCACATGCTCTGGCACCGCGATCAGCTAAACCCCTGAAGGAGGCGACTGGCGCAGCAGCAGAGAGCCCCGTGCGCCCAGGACTGGCGTTCTGCCGCTACTCTCAGACGCCGACGTCACGATGACTCACGAGTGACACACTGGTTGTGTGTATCTGGCGTAGGGAATATTGCTCAACCCGCTCCAGGTTCTGTGTATGTGTGTGTGTGTGTGTGAGAGACCGGAGGCTTCTGTAGGTGTGCCTTCCAGAAATGTCAGAACAGATCCGCTCTTGGGTGAAGCAGGTGCACACTGAGCCTTAACCTGTTTTACTTATATCTCGCCGGCACACAATCGAATGATTCATTGTGGATGGTTTCCCACATTGATATCCTGATAAGGCTCCCTTTCAGGTAGTCCTCGATGAGTCAATGTGGCTGTGACTGCTAATCCTATTTTCTAACCCAAACTACAATTAAATGAGTGGAGAATCATTAACCAATAAATGTTAACTTCCCGGGCACTCCTTCAGAGGAAGTACCTGCCTTTGGGCGTGGCTTCCCTAAATCTTGCCTCACAAGGAGTGTGATTAACGGTTACCTGATCATCTTCCCTGTGGTTTAGTGAGCCCGCATTGCGCGTGTCCCCTCCTCGTCCCGGCTGTCGTGCTCATCCACAGGCATGCCGGCCCATCCTGTGTCACTCTGACCCGCATTCTCAAATCTAAACCCTCCTCAAAGGCTCTGTTCTCTGCTGCCGTACAGCCCTTCAAGCTAAAAATGGATTCTCATATATATGATCAAAAAGCTCATCCAATCATTCTGGTATAGAGTTGACTGGACAATTTGGGACTTGTTCTTGTGAGGCAACATCATGTTTTGTTTTGGGGTTATATTATCATATTAAAGTTGGAAAAGACAACAAAACATTTAGATTTTCTTTTCCTGCCTTGCAATGCATCATTTTGAGGTGTCTCTTCATGCCCAATGGTTGAATGTTTTGTGCGACCTGGTGTATCGTTTCCCCTCAAGTTGTCTGTGCCGTCATTTGACCAACCTCACCTCCTCCTCCTCACATCGCCATGTGATTGTGTCGGTCTTTCCCTCACCCTGTGACTTGTGGCGGCGAGGCCCTTCGAGTCGATTATCCAACAGCTGCACGGCAGAGGGGGAGGGGGTAGACGGGAGAGGAAAGGGGTGGGATCGAGGGGGGTGCGCACAACAGAAAGGCTTACGTCAACCCAAACGAGTCATGCAGCAGCAGTGTGGCCGCCTGCACAGGCAACCAACTGCACAACTGAGGTGATAAATGCTCAGGACAGAGTGAGCAAACATGCAGCCAAAGCATCACCTTCTTCTTCATTCCACCACACTGTGCCTCCTGTGATCATTTAGTAAAATCCCTATTAGGATAAAGAGACATGGTCTGCAGTGATCATGCCATAGTTTCTCTTGCCCCTTCACCCCCGTCCTCCCACTGTCCTTTCCATTGGAGAGGCCATGTAACCATAAAGCGAAGCACTCGCGGCCTGAACCCTCCATGTGTTCCATTAGTGTGTCACTGTTAATCATTGTCAAGTTGCTATTGGGTGCAAATGGGGAGTTAGCACTGCAGCTAGTTGACCTTTTTTTAATTATAGTTATCAAGATGTGATACGGGACAGGTTTGCCCCTCCCAACCAAGGCTATAAACTCTAAAGGTTGCATTAGCTTCTCTAAAATTCACCCTTTGGTGTTCTGTTTGTACGCAGCTTGTGTGTCGTCATGTTGTTTTCTAGATTGCGTTTGATGTTGTAAAGGTATCCATTTCCCTCTTCCATAAAAGGAGGCACAATATTTGCAGTGCATTTGTAAATAAATCCAAGCTTTTTTCACAGCTCCAAGGAGCTACATTAATCTTTAAGGCTGCCTGATATGAATTGCCATTGATCTAGTGTATTTAGTTTTTTTTCTTTTACAAGGGTTTACCAATAATGGCTACTGTACTCATCAGCTCACTAATGGACTCACTCATGCATCATTAATCCCTAAACAAAGGAACCATTTGGCAGTAGACAGACAACTGCTTCTGCATTGTTTGCCTGGCTGGAATAAAACCAGAGCATTGTCACAGATTGTGACCCTTGCCATGACCCCAAGGGTGGAAGTGAATTCATCCGAAATGAAATGTCAAACCGGGCCAAATGATGATTTATTGCCATTGCAACACAGTCATTATTTTTCCATTAATGCGTTTCCAGTGGTTGGACAAACACCTTCTTGACTGTTTATAGCTCTGTAATATGTGTGTGTGTTTATATGTGTGTCTAGGATGAAGAGGAGGAAATTAAACTGGAGATCAATATGCTGAAGAAGTATTCCCATCATAGAAACATAGCCACCTACTATGGTGCTTTCATTAAGAAGAGCCCCCCGGGACACGATGACCAGCTATGGGTAAGTCCTCAAATCCTTCCAAGATATCGAAGGTTGACTTAGATGTGTGTGACAAATATGTAGCTGCCATGATTATTTCTTAAAGAAATTTATAATACCAAACTTTTCTATTTTATTTAGGGAATTTGGACATGGCTCATGTATTAAACGTATTATTGTTTCTCAAATACCACAAGCTTATCCTCTGATGCTTTGTACCTTTCTGTAGTTGGTGATGGAGTTCTGTGGAGCTGGTTCCATCACGGACCTGGTGAAGAACACCAAGGGGAACCAGCTGAAGGAAGACTGGATCGCCTACATCTCCAGAGAGATCCTTAGGGTAGGCTCCTGTCCTCTCCGGTCTCCTAGTCTACTCTCCTCTCTCACAGTAACACTCATGTTGTCCTCCTCCTCCTCCTCCTCCTCAGGGTCTGGCCCACCTGCACGCCCACCACGTCATCCACCGCGACATCAAGGGCCAGAACGTTCTGTTGACGGAGAACGCTGAGGTCAAATTAGGTTAGTGCCGGCACAGATCTTAATTTTTTTCTTTTATTTTTTCATCCGCTTGCCAACCACTGTCCAAGGTGAACGACACCTTGCTGACTCCGGTCACTCTTTTCGCTCTAGTCGACTTTGGCGTGAGTGCTCAGCTCGATCGAACGGTGGGGAGGAGAAACACCTTCATCGGGACCCCTTATTGGATGGCCCCCGAGGTCATTGCCTGTGACGAGAACCCAGATGCTACATATGATTACAGAGTAAGAGCCGTTGACGTTATGCAATTGTGTGCAAAAGGCTTCTTGCATGCTTCTTTCTTTCTGTGTGCTTGCTGCGTTTAACGCCTGCGTCTTTTCTTGCAGAGCGATCTGTGGTCTTGTGGAATCACAGCGATTGAAATGGCTGAAGGAGCGCCACGTGAGTTTTTCTTTATATAAGCAAACTCGCTCCAGTTCGGTCTCTTGAATTCCTATTGATGCTCCAATTTGTGTGTCTTCTTGCAGCACTTTGTGACATGCACCCAATGCGTGCGCTCTTCCTCATCCCAAGAAACCCTCCACCCAGGCTCAAGTCTAAAAAATGGTGAGTACTACGCAGAAAGGATGTTCCTTGTGCATTTCTGTCCCGTCCCAATACTATTTTAATTCACAGGATTATTCTATATATAGATTTCTTACTTGAGTACTGGAGTGGGTTTTTATTTTATCTCCAAGCAGGCAGCCACGGTGGCTTGAATTGGCATTTTCCTCTGTGCCTTGCTCCTTAGCTGTGGTACACCTAGTCTGGCAGGCTCCGTAACTGCAGCGCTGCTCTGAACGCACTGCAGAATTTCTTTTTTCTTTTCTCTCTTCCTGCCACTAGAGCTGATGAATTAGTTCCTAAATTTAACATACGTAGTGGTATGGCCGGGCCTCTACACTATTATGGATCCTTCTTACATGGAATAATACAAATAGTCCAAACGCAAATTGTTTTGCCGTTATATCGTCTGAATAATTCAATTGAAAGTGAAATGCCCCCCCACCTTAATGCCAGCAGGTGCAATGGTGATGTTAATTGAATTGTACTGTGCCCCATAAATCAGAGCTTTCATGGTATACGCCTGTCACACATATAAACATCATTTACACCATGAAACCAGAGGCGCTGTGTTTTCTTGTTTCAGCTGATGTTCATCCCCTTTGGGGGGGGGGACAGTCCGTTCTACTGAGGATCCCTGGATGTGCTCTTTGCTCTGTTGGCTGTATTATTTACCGCCACCGCTGTCTTTTTGTTTTATGTGTCCCCCCTCTCTGTCTCGCACCGTCCCTCCTTCTGTTGACTTTGCTCCTCTGCTCTCTGCACAGGTCCAAAAAGTTTTTCAGTTTCATCGAGGGCTGCCTGGTGAAGAACTACACGCAGCGGCCCCCGACAGACCAGCTGCTGAAGCACCCCTTCATCAGAGACCAGCCCAACGAGAGGCAAGTCCGCATCCAGCTCAAAGACCACATTGACCGTACCAAGAAGAAGAGGGGGGAGAAAGGTGCGTCTGTCTCTCTTTTTCCAACCGCTTTGCCCCATCAAAGAAATGTGACAAAATAATTAGATAATGCGCTCATATCATTCCGTGTGCAGACGAGACTGAGTACGAGTACAGTGGCAGTGAGGAGGAGGAAGAGGATCCCCCAGAGCAGGAGGGAGAGCCCAGGTAATACTTAAATAGTAGTGTACCAACTCATTAGCAGGAGTAAGGATTAAAAAAAAAGGGTTTCCCTCAAATCTAACCTCTATGTCCGGATTCCCTCCATCGCGCAGCTCCATTGTCAATGTGCCAGGTGAGTCAACCCTGCGGCGCGACTTCATCCGCCTGCAGCAGGAGAACAAGGAGCGATCGGAGGCGTTGCGCCGCCAGCAGCTCCTCCAAGAGCAGCAAATGCGGGAGCAAGAGGAGTACAAACGCCAACTACTGGCTGAGAGGCAGAAACGCATTGAGCAACAGAAGGAGCAGAGGAGGCGGCTGGAGGAGGTAGGATGATTATTTTGTTTTACGGTACAAAGAGATGAGACTGATTAGAATAGAAATTGCGTCTTTGTTTAGCCACCTCTTGACACCTCTTTTGTCTTCGGTCATCCACAGCAACAGCGGCGCGAACGAGAAATGAGGAGGCAGCAGGAGCGCGAGCAGCGTCGCCGCGAGCAAGAGGACAAGCGGCGGATCGAAGAAATGGACCGCCGACGTAAAGAAGAGGAGGAACGGCGGCGGGCCGACGACGAGAAAAGGAGGAACGATCGTGAACAGGTCAGCTTCAAAACATTCCTACGCCCAATGGAAGCATCTCTCAAGTGAGGCCTCGTTATGGCCAATTTTGAGATTTTCTAGTCATGGCGAGAGAGTCTCAGCGCGTACAGAAGGACTGTGTGTAAATCTGTCTGTAGATCCATGTTAAGGTGGTACACTGGCCACATTGCCAGTGACAGTAAGTCAAAATTAGATGTTGACTGCTTGGCTCAGATATTTTAAAGCTGGACTTTGTATCCGCAGTGTTTCACACTGGCTGCTTTTGTTTGGCTGACAGGAGTACATCAGGCGTCAGCTGGAGGAGGAGCAGAGACACCTGGAGATGCTGCAGGAGCAGCTGCTCCGTGAACAGGCCATGCTGCTGGTCAGTCACACACATGCACGTCATGCTGCCCGTCACAGTAGACAACTATTTTACAGGAACTTGTGCATCGACTTCATCTAACCACTGAAATTCATCCCTGATTTTCTCTGTAAAGACTGATTTCAGGTTTGTTCTTAGTTCGTCTTCAATTCATCATATAGCTTTATTGTATGCATGATAAAGACGTGTTGTGTTCTTATATCGTATTATGTGGTTACCGAGTATTCTTCTTGTAATAAGGTTCAAACGGTTCACTACAGTAACAAATGCTGCCAAACCCTGACTGCACAGAGGATGGCACTTATTTGTAGTCAGTTTGACGGGACCGACCACGCTGCCAGGTCTTTCATCTCTTCTCAACCCCTTAAATCAACCACACGCTCTGCAATAGGAGTTCAAGTGGCGGGAGCTCGAGGAGCAGCGCAAGGCCGAGCGACTCCACAAGCGCCTGCAGCAGGAGCAGGCCTACCTGCTGTCGCTCCAGCACGAATCCAAACAGCCGCCCGGCAACAAGACCAAACTCCCCTCAGATCGTAGCGCACATCAGCAGGCCTCCACCATGCCCCCCGGCAGAGTCCTCACCGCGACCCCCCGAGCGCAGGTCCTCGACCGAGACCATCAGACAGTCCCCTCAGATGGCCCTAAGGCCCCGGCAGCAGCGCCGGAGGAGACTGACTGCGATGAAACCGGTCCCGGCCAGCTCTCAAACTCCCCCAGGCCCTCTCAGACCGAATCCCCCTCTGACTCTGAGCCTCCCCAGGGAGAATGTTCGGAGCCCGATAGCCCCGCAGAACCCATCGGTCATCCTCCTCCGCCTATTAGAGAGGTGAACCTCCTTGTTAGCTCTGCCTACCCCGCTGCCTGCTCTTTCTGGCTTCTTCTTGCTTATCCTCACAGCCTCAGCAACAATAATAAAAAAGAATTATAACATAGGTGGTCTGAGCGCATAATAATGGTTTTCTCCATCCCAAAAATACTGACATTTAATTGGCACATTGTGTTTTGGATGCGGTGGCGTTATTCCAAAGCAGTCGCTCATTTGTTACAACCAAGGCCCCTCTCAGCCAGATCCTTTTGAATGTAGGTTTGAGGAGGGGAGGCGAGGGGGGTTAGGAGAAGAGAACCCAACAACTACAGCCCAAGAAAATGGAGCTGTTCTCCTCCACTACCTCTGGGCACTCGTCTCCTTGACTAGTAAAACCGCCAGTGTCAGAAGGTTTTCTTCATGCCTTAATTTTCACTCGAAGGAGGCGGATCAAGAGAAACAATAATAATAATTAGTATGAGAAAATGAGCAAGATTCTACTTTTGCTGCCATTAACATCTTTATTTTCAAATACATTTTTTTTTTCTTTTTTTTTCCGCACTTTTCCCCACATTTTTCACTTATCTACAGTCATGCGACTCCTAAGTCGCAACTCATTTTTTTTTTTTCTCCTCGTAAAACAATTCAGAACAACATTTTGCTGCTGTTTAGGAATTTCTCTTGATCTCGGGTGGCCCTCTGCAAAGTTCTTTCAACGATGCTCTAATGACTGTCAGTGTGCAGACCGGGGCCGTTGCATGCGGATGGCTGAGGCCCAGACTAACAAGCAGGACACCCAGGCATCAACAGCGCTGTTCCGTCATTAACGATGACCCCCCCCCCTCGTGTCTCCACCTCTCTGCATCGAGCATGTTTGATGTCATCATCACCGGATGTTGTTTGTCCATAAAGTATAAAGATTTCTGTGTCTATGTCCAAAGACTCCTGGGGGGCAGTTATGTAAGAAAAAACTAGCAGACGGGAACCATTTATTAATGCACACATTTTATCTTTGCCACTATTTTTTAATCATGAGGAGTGGTTCCCTTCTGCTTGATTTTTATTCGAGAAGCACCTCGATGGTCGACAAAGCAGCAACCATCGAGGTGTCTCTCCTGACCTTCCTTCTCTGTCCCGTACGATTTCCCCCATCAGGCTGATGAACGGTACCGTAAGAACATTCAGGGCTCCCCTCAGATTGCCCCTCCTCCCAAGCAGCCCCCTCTGCCTCCCCGCTCCTCTGAACCGTTCTCCAATGGCGGCTCCTCCTCCGAGGCCTCCGCCATGCACCGGCCCATGGAGCCTCAGGTAACTCACCCACCCTGTGCTGCTCCATCCTTGACGCTCTCTTCCTCCCTCACTTCCAACTTTGTGTACTTGCGCCTTTTTTTGAACGAGAGAAGCAAGAGCAGCATCATGTTCCATCGCACCAAGGTCTGTCTGATCGCAAAATTGTTTACTCACCTCCAATTTGACCACTACAGCCCCGGCCAGGACGGAGTCATCAGAGTAGTGTAATTAAGCATTTCAATTGGCCCGAGGCACCCAAATCTACGTTGCACTTTGGTACCGGTTGTATATTGGCACTGGTTTTAGGTGCCCAACCCTAATCAGCAGGAGCTGTGGTTATAACTTTGACTTTACTTACGTGATTTAGGTCGAGAAGATCACTATTTCTCATGATGTTGAGCTGTTCCTTTTAAGCCGTTGCATCAATCCAAAGCCCAGACAGTGAATCACACCATCGTGTCGTGTTGTGCGTTGTCTGCAGTATGCATGTCTATGCTTTACATGCAAAACCACACACATCCTCCCTCATGTCTCACTGTGTTGTCTGCTTGTTTCACCTCCTCCTGCTCCTCCTCCTCTTGTCCTTCCTCCTCCCTCACCCCCTAAAAGGTCCAGTGGTCCCACCTGGCTGCTCTAAAAAGCAGCAACAGCGCAGCCCCCTCTTCTTCTTCTTCACCTCCCACTCCTCCTCCTCCTCCTCCGCCCGTGGTCTCTCGCTCCCAGTCCTTCAGCGAGCCCGCCGGCGTGACCCCTAACTTTGCACAGCTCCACCTGCGTTCCCAGGACCCCCATCATCACCACCACCCATCGCCCGCACGCACTGACCCCCAACCTCCCCTCCACCACCCTCAGGCCCTTACTAGGGCCGAACAACAGGCCTGCGGCGAGGAGATACCTCCCAAGGTAAGGAGCTGACGAGGGCCCACCCCCCCCACCGCATCCCAATCCCCAGCCCCCTCCTCCCCTTGCCTGCCGCATTCACTTCCTCTTCATGTAAATCACCTCACTCATCATGCTGTTTGTGTTTGCCTGTTCGGGCTCATTTCGTGAGCATCGTCATTGAACGGTGTTGGAAATACAAATAATTTACAGGCCTTTTTAAATGACTGAGTTCATGCTCAGTTGAGATGTTTTCATACTGTATTTCCAAGATGATGTCCATGCCCCTGCAGTATTTGGTTTAAGCAGTTGTATTGAATATGTCTCTTCTGTTTTTTTTTTGTTGTTTTTTTTACATACACCTGTTGGTCATTTTCATGTTGGATTTTCAGTTTAAGTTAAACTTTTTTTTTTTTTTTCATATCGAAGGAATTTAATTGTCATCTTTTTACATACAAAACCAGCCACAATGTGAGGATCTTTTCTCAATCTGAAACTTCCAGGTCCCAGTAAGGACGACATCCAGGTCTCCGGTACTGGCGCGCCGAGAATCCCCTCTGCCGTCACAGCCCGGCAACCAGGTGGGACAGAGGATCGCTGCAGGGTGAGTAAAAAGGCCGTGGGTGTCTGAAGGGTGGTTTGTAAATTTAAACAGTTTGAAAGTGTTGTGGGAGCGCTGCCCGTGCTCGTTAACACGGCGTGATTCTCCGTGGCAGGAACGTGGAGCAGCGGCCGTTGTGGGACCGAGTGGAGAAGCTGCAGCCTCGGCCGGGCAGCGGCAGCTCCTCCGGCTCCTCCAACTCCAGCTCCCAGGCCAGCCCCGGTGACCGCTTCCGACCACGCTGTGAGTCCCCTGGTACTGTACTCGGCTACATTTCACTAACTCTACCAACTGCTTCTCAGCAAATGATCGTGATTACTGTAATAACGCCGCTCTTGCTCATTTCTGTGTTATCCGCTCGCACTCCGGTGTGCTTTCTGCATTTTTTTATACGGGCAATTAAAGATTGCACGTTTCCCTTCACTAACTCAACCTCTTTTTGTTCCCTCAAAGCTTCCTCCAAATCTGAAGGGTCGCCTCTCCAGCGTCCTGAAAATGTTCCCAAAAAGCAAGATGAAAAGAACCTTGCCAGGCCTACTCGACCAGCTGTAAGTCCACTGTTGCTTAAGTGACGATTGAAGTTGTTTATTGCTGAATGGGTGAAAACTGTTTTGTGTTTTTCTCCATTTTCTACTACTTTAATTATTCAATCACCTGGTGCAACCGCTCATGAATCCGATGGTTCGTGATTGTTGGGGAACCTCTTAGGGTGATGCGGTAAGCATATTGAACCACACCTATGCTTGCACTATAGCTCCATTCATTGCATTATGTGGTAACGGGTTGTGATAAAAGAGCCATCTCTCCTTTGTGATGATTTATGGGATAAGTCTTCCCTCTGTCACTGTATACTCTGCAATGTGCCTGTGATTTGTTTGCCCTCCGCTCAAGTCTTTCCCCGTGGCTGCACAGTTCTCTCTCACTTTACTGCCTGTAGTCGACGACCGGCCCGAGAACGGGTTTACCCTCCACAGCGGCTTCCCGACGTCTCGATTTGAATGCAACCTCATTTGAATGCAACCACATTCCTCATGTTACCTCGTACCTCCCAGAGTTGCTTCTACTCTCAACTCTCACTCAGCTTTGTAGTTTGATAAAATGTGGCACATTTGCTTTGTTGAGCATGCCTGGAAGTGTCCCTCCTCCCTCTTCCTGCTTGCCACTCACCTTACGTATGGCGTTATATTTGTGCCACAATCCTGAGCGCGTAATTTTAAGTTTTGAGCACAGAGAACTATATTTTAGCAAAGAAAAACATATTCCGAGCCGTTGCTGCGCTCTCTCTCTCCTCTTCACGCTGCGCTCGCTCGACGTTTCACTCACGCGCTCGCTCGACTTGCAGCAGCGTTACGTTTGTGCCACAAAACCAACCAATCAGAGAATTAAAGAAGGTCAATTGTGATTGGCTGTTGGTCTCCAATCACAACGCTAGTAGAACTCCCTACAGCATCGCGGAAGCTCAGCGAGTTGTTGAAGTTTGCAGCATTTGTGCTAAATGCTAATGGCCTGGATTAAAACACTTGCTGTTCTCATGATTTGCTTCGGTCATGTCTGATGGTGGCTAGCCGGACTTCTAATATCACTCGTTTTCATCTTCTTTAGGAAGCGTTGTGATTGGAGACCAACAGCCAATCGCAATTGACCTTCTTTAATTCTCTGATTGGTTGGTTTTGTGGCACAAATGTAGCGCTGCTGCAAGTCGAGCGAGCGCGTGAGTGAACCGTCGAGCGAGCGCGTGAGTGAACCGTCGAGCGAGCGCGTGAGTGAAGAGGTGGAGAGAGCGCAGCAACGGCTGCCTGCGCGCAGAAAACCAGTTTGTGGAGACTGCACCTGAGTAAACTGCGCGCACGGGATGTTTTTCTTTGCTAAAATATAGTTCTCTGTGCTCAAAACTTAAAATTACGCGCTCAGGATTGTGGCACAAATATAACGCCATACTTACAAGCCTGCACAGTCATAGCAGAGTCTGCGGTGGAAGTTCAGGGCAACGTGGTTACATGTCATGCAATTTAGTGGGTGCAGCATAATCAAGGAATAAGAAAACGATTAAACTCATCATTTGATTTGAACAATGTGCCACTTAACTCAACACTTAGTGGAACTGAGATCTTAGACCAGGGCTCAAATGATTTAGAAACGTGCCAACACAAGGACAGGTATTTGGTTAGAGAAGAGCGTACAGCTGTGTTAAATATAGACGATGCACACCTACATGTACCCAAAAATCTGATTCTGTAAATATAAGGAGGTTTATGAAGTGGAAAGGAATGTCTTCACTAGTTTCAATTAAGATAACTTTATAAAGTTTGGCACCTAATTTGCTCACTTACTGTTAGGATTGAGAGTCTATTTTGATTTGGTCAGTGCACAAACTTGGTATTATTCTAAATACCTGATTTTTGCCCAGATAACCGACTCATGACTTTCTTATTGTCCCTCCTTAGGATCTGACAGCTCTGGCTAAGGAGCTTCGTGCGGTAGACGACGTGAGGCCCCCCCACAAGGTCACCGACTATTCCTCCTCAAGCGAGGACTCGGGCACCACCGACGAGGAAGACGATGAGGAGGTGGACCAGGAGGCGGGAGAGGAGTCCACCTCAGGGGCCGAGGACTCCAGGGCTGGGTAGGTAGAGCTGCAATGATTGGTTGGCTCCGCTGTCCTTGTTGTCTGTCGCGCTCTTTGCAATTAAAACAATAATAAAAACCATATGCCGTAACCTCACAAGTGCTGCATGGCTTTTTTTCTGCATGCGTGTTAACACTGGTCTGGTTACGGACGTCAGATATTCCCATGGCTTCCGCAGGAGGCTGAGTAACGGGGAGACAGAGTCTGCAAAGACCATGCTTCTGGAGGACTCTGAGAGCGACCAAGCCGTCACGCCTTCCAAGGATGGAACGCTGGTCATCAGACAGGTAAGAAAGGGGATAATGGATTAACTGCTTCTTTGCATAAAAGTTAAAGGCACATTTCTGCATGTAAACAAGTTTTTTTTAATTTTTTTTATTCATTTAGAAATGTAATTTTCATCTTTCTTTGTCCGGTGTTCATCCCCACATTCTCCACCGTTTCTGCCGTGTGACTGTATATTACCATGCCATTTTTTGTTTTAGTCATTACAGACATTGCGGCTTCTCATTTCACAATCACTGATCTAATACCTCTGATGGTTCTAGCTTGTATTTAACGCGACATGCACAGCAGCGATGGTCTCCAAAGACGAATCAAGCGATTAGTAGATCATGATGCCAAGCAGCAGACTAGCAGCCAGTCGTCAGTCTCTCCGCCTGCTTGCTCGAGCCAAAGTGTGCCTGTTCTTGCTTCCAGAGCACCGTTGACCTAAAGCAGTTGGTCAATCTCGCCTCAGCTGGCCTCGGTCACATGCACGGCCAGCCCCAAACCCACGGCCTTGCAGAGAAAAACGGCTTTGCCGGCCGCATACACCACCTACCAGACCTTATCCAGCAGAGCCATCACTCCCCTTCCTCTTCCACAACCATCCCTTCCTCTCCCTCCTCCTCCTCCTTCACATCGTCATCTAGCTATGCCAGTCCCGTCATGCCCCCACAGAGCCCCCTGGACGAGCTCTCTGGCATAGAGGTACGTCACCCTCTACGTCGACGAGACAAGCGACTGAGGAATGGACTGTGGGGCGGTACAGGCTTTGACATGCAGCGCAGAAGGTTAACTCGAACAGCCGCTCCAACACTGCTTCGAGAAGAAGTGTTCCATTGGACGTTTTTACATTTTTAGCGAAAGTTCCTTTTTAAGTAGTTAGACCAGGATTGCGTAATATTTGCCACTGCAGCAGACTGGTTTCCATCTCAAAGCCTGTACACGCCCCGCCGTCCAGTCCAGTCCTTGATCGCCGGTCGGAGCCTTTCCGGGCCTCCACGGGCCTCCAAGCTGAGGCCCTTCTGTGTGCTCCTGCCTTCACTGTGGCTCTACTTTGCCCTCTTGTGGCTTGGCTGACTCCTCCAATCTGCAAACCTCCTTCCATCCTGGAATTCAGGGCATCGCTCTGTGTCCCTGCTAACACTTGTGCCACCTGGTGGTAGAGCATGGTCACGGCATTGAGGAAACTAAACTGCAGCTTCTTGGGGCGAAATATGAACAAGCACCTTTCTGCAGTACATTCTAGCAGTGTGAGGTGTTTGCATGCCTGGTGTGATGGTAGAGGGGATTTAGATTTTGAATATACATTTATTTTGTATGTTTATTGTCACAGATTAAAGCCTCTTTCAAGGTGTGACTCATGCATTGCTAACAACACACATCTCTGGTGGTGGAATTACGATCTTCCTGTGTGCTTCAACAGGAGCAGCGCTTTCCTCTTAACACTTCAGCATGTAAATCGTTTCTCACTTCCATCAACACATTTCATCTTGTCGCTGTTTTCCCTCTCACAAACAAGTCTGTCCTTGTTGGCTTTCAAACATAACTGCACGTCATCTTTTTTTCCTTCTTTTTTTGCATTAAATTTTAGTCACACATTTGAGTTGCAGAGCCAAAAAATGTTTTCCCAGTAGTTTTTGTCACAGAACTTTTGTTTGATTTCACACAGTAACGCTGTTTTCTGAGCCCCGAGAGGTAGAAATGTAACTCAAGGCCTGTTTCTATTAGTTAAACATTCAGTCAGTTTTATAAATTACAAATCAGTGTTACAATTTTGGCCTGATTGTTTTCGTAAATTGCTTTTCTATGCAGATTTAGGAAAAGTTGGAAAATCTTCCGCTTCTAATCTTTGTCTTTTAATCTCATTCAGTCCCAGTCAGAAAGCAACTCCATGTCCAAACACAAGTCTTCCTCCTCCTTCACTCCCTTCATTGACCCTCGTCTTCTACAGATCTCTCCATCCAGCGGCAGCGCCCTCAACAACATGGGTACGTGTTTGTAATTAAAAACTGTTGTACGTAGTCTGCTTCAGTCCCCATGTGCTCTTGATTGTATTACCGAGTGAAAGAGTGAAACTGAGAAGTAACCGAGACGGCACCACGCTGTCCAATAACCATTTAAATACACAATGGCATCAACGTTGACATCTGTGTTGTCCCTCCAGCAGCGTTTGGGCCGGACGGACGCCTCGCAGACCCGCTGAGGTCCGACCCGTCTCGCAAAGGCTCGGTGGTTAACGTCAACCCGGTCAACACGCGCCCGCCGAGCGATACGCCGGAGATTCGCAAGTACAAGAAGAGGTTCAACTCTGAGATCCTGTGCGCCGCGCTGTGGGGTGAGTGTCCTCCTGTGGGAGGGGGGGGGGGGGGGGTCACTTGTGACACCCAATTATTCTACTCGGCATTCATCGAACTATGCCACGAACTACGGCAGTTACATTTATTTAATGTGTTTTCCTTTCTCTGATTGTTCCAGGAGTGAACCTGCTGGTGGGAACGGAGAGCGGTCTGATGCTGCTGGACCGGAGCGGCCAGGGGAAGGTCTACCCTCTGATCAACAGGCGACGCATCCAACAGATGGATGTCCTGGAGGGGCTCAACGTGCTGGTCACCATATCGGGTACAGCGCCTGTGGCTATCGAGCACAGATATTCTTTTTTGATGTCTGAGAGGGTGTGTGACATTTCTTTCTCTCATCCAACTCTGCCCCCCTGCAGGTAAAAAAAACAAGCTGCGAGTGTACTACCTGTCGTGGCTGAGGAACAAGATTTTGCACAATGACCCCGAGGTGGAGAAGAAGCAGGGTTGGGTTAATGTGGGCGACCTGGAGGGTTGCGTCCACTACAAAGTCGGTACGTCCCCAAAGATTCCTGAACCTGGAATGAATAATCAACGTGAGGCAATTGTATAACTCACAAATGACTCTTTTCGTTCCAGTGAAATATGAGCGGATTAAGTTCTTGGTGCTGGCCTTGAAGAACGCGGTGGAGGTGTACGCCTGGGCGCCCAAACCATACCACAAATTCATGGCCTTCAAGGTAAGCAACGTCATTCTGCAAGAATAGTTCCACCCCCCAACAATGACCTGACTAACATTTCCCTACATGTTTGCCGTAGTCTTTCGGGGATCTGGTGCACAAGCCTCTGCTGGTTGACCTGACGGTGGAGGAAGGTCAGAGGTTAAAGGTCATCTATGGCTCCTGTTCAGGCTTCCACGCCGTGGATGTGGACTCCGGAGCCGTCTACGACATCTACCTGCCCACACACGTAAGCCTGAAGTGCTTTCTAATACCCTTTTCTGTTCCGCGCTCGTCAGTCTCTTGACTCTCATTCCTCCCCTTTCTCCTCCCTCAGATCCAGACCAGCATCCAGTGCCACGCCATCATCATCTTGCCCAACACTGATGGCATCGAGCTGCTGGTGTGTTACGAGGACGAGGGCGTCTACGTCAACACCTACGGGCGCATCACCAAGGACGTGGTGCTGCAGTGGGGGGAAATGCCGACTTCAGTGGGTAAGTGGGGCCCTTTTAAGTCTTTGTGCACAGCGAGTGCTCGCTGGGGAAGCTTTGTCTCATCTCCCTCTGTGTCTGCGCAGCCTACATTAGGTCGAACCAGATCATGGGCTGGGGTGAGAAGGCCATAGAGATCCGCTCGGTGGAAACGGGCCACCTGGACGGCGTTTTCATGCACAAGAGAGCCCAGAGACTCAAGTTCCTGTGTGAGAGGAATGACAAGGTGGGAACATAACTGTCTTTCATCCTTCCTGCTTCTTTCTCCCTACATTATAAGTACCGTAAGTGATTTATCGCCCTTTTTCCCCCTGTCGGTCAGGTCTTCTTTGCCTCTGTGCGCGCCGGAGGTGCCAGCCAGGTGTACTTCATGACCCTGGGACGCACCTCCCTCATGAGCTGGTAGGCGACGACCAACCGCCACGCCAGCCAACACGACGACCATACCTAAGCAGTGACCAACGGATGACTATTGTGACTATGACCGCCGACGATAAAAAGGTGAAAAAATTCACCTCCGTGATCGCCGCCAGGCGAAAGCAAACAACGGATTGGACTGTACCCATGAAAAAGAAGCTGGGGTGCGGGCTTGTGTGTGGGTGGGGGCGAGGGGCTGCGTTCTGTTCGTGTCCACTGAGTGTACTAGTAAACTATATTACAACAACAGAAACCCCCCTCCCTCCCCCGAGCCTCCGGGTTTTCCCTTCACCCGACCCTTTGAGCCGATCCCCCTCCTCCCCTCCCTCCGGATCTGTTGCCCGTTGACGGTAAATCTTTGTGTCATAGTAAAACTTTGCATCGTGTTTATGTGAATGGCGGAAACACTGAGCATGTGAACGACTGAAGGGGCAATAAGAGGCTAAACGCGGCTGTCACTGTATCAAAGAAGGCAAATACTTGTATGTGCACACCTCGAGTGTAGCCGTTTGTAGCTGTAGTTTAGTCCGGGTCCCGGTCAGGGGAAGCTGTCTCCCTATTCCCACCACGGTAGATTTCCACGTCAAGCATGCCAATTGACACGAGCCCACAGCCACATATTATAACGCTTGACATGTAAATCTGCCTCTGTATCTTCACTTTTTTTGCCTTTTCTTCCTTAAAGTGAAGATTTTTTTGTAAGGGACCTTCTTGATATATCCATTCAATACAGGGTACTGGATATCAGTGTGTACATACTAACTACATCTACCTTGTAGGCGCCAGACTCTCCCAGGTTTTACAGACACTATCTCGACTTTTACCACATTGCCTCACATATTGTAGGTTATGTCGGACAGAAGAAGCCCTGTTTATGACAGCATGTCACTTTAGTGTTATCAACCAGATTTAGCTCCAGTTTTTTCCATACACTGTATATTTTGTGCTGCACATAAAGAAAGCATAAGGAATTAAGGACGCACCCTTAGATGAGCTTTAAAGGAAAAATTTACCGTATTCATCATTGAGCTGTCATTTTTTTTCTACTTTCCAAATGGCGAGGCTCTTCTCCCTGGCTCAATTTAACATCAACTGGAAATGTGTAAACTAGCAAACAAAACCTCAAATGGACACAGCGATGTGAGACGCATTACCGGGTGGATTTTCCCTTTAACATCAGTCACGAGAAGCGCCAGGATAAACTGTGAATTAGACATGCAGAATCAGCAGGTGGCCATTAAGGTAGCATTGAGGCCAGTGGGCAGAAGTGATGGAAAGGGAAGTGTGCATAGGCCCTGGGGGGCTGAGAAGAAGCTTTGAACATCACACTCCAGTAACGGGGAGGACACCACGATTAGCTGATTGTCCTCCGCCTGCACCACGTTTGAATCTCACATCTACAATCATTCAACTGTATTTTGAAAGAGACTGTAGCTTAATGCGTAGCTGAGCAGTTGTCTTAGAAGGGTCTCCAGCGGATTAAAGCGGCTCAAAATCCACGGCAGGTTTTGTCAAGTTAAACGTGACGTTTGGTATTCATGTACTGTAGGGACACTTGAGTCTGAATCAGCCATATGACTCAACATTGGACCTTCTTTTATTGCCATTTTGGCTTCAGACAGGCGATTAGAGTGTTTTCAGTCCAGTCTGGATTGAAGAGACAAACTTTTAACTGGATAATTTTCCATCCCAGAATGGAACCCTTTTGGTTTCACTCTTCTTCCTCTCATCCTCTTTTAACCCGAATGGCAATGAAAGACTTTGTCACTTGATGTTAGACCGCCTCATAACCACTGTTAAAATATAGGGTCCATCTTGCAGCTGTGTGTTTTGTGTGAATGAGAAAACTATATTACGGGACTTTCACCCCCCCCCCCCCCCCCCCCCCCCCGCCTAAACTTCAACTCTTTGACCCTGCTCTCAGTAAAAGTGGTGCCTTCACTTTCCAAGGTGGGACCTGCTGAGCGCTGCAGAACATGGGAATGAGAAGCTTTCACTCTCCTGATCACCTGTGAAAAGCAAAGAAAGTCACGTTCTAATGGCAGTGTTACAAAACCACTTCAGATGGCGTGAACTAAGCGGCATATTTTTAACTGACTTAGTTTTTAGTCTTGTTTCTGCAATTTTTATTATGTAATCCTTCAGATAAGTATGCGACTGCAGTGGTTTTTAAATTGTAATGCACACCTTATGTTGAAAATGTTTACAGAAGCAATTGTTTTGTTAAACCAATGTGCATCGATATGAATATTTATGGTTTATTTTGAGGGCAGTTTCTCCCCTGTTTTGTATTTTGTATTTTTCCCTTTTTGTACTATCATTTAGACGTTTGTGTGCAGGAAAAATCCACCTTTGCTCGCATTATGAATCACATAAGGCTAGAGTGTGGTTTCACTGATTCCTCGACACCCTGCATAGTGTGCACAGTGTGCCCCTTGCTGTGTGGCAGCGTGGATCAAATGTTTTCTACCACCCAGGTGCCAGGTGACCTGTCCCCCCATAAGCGTCTTTCTCTGCCATGCCCCTCTAATTTATGTCCTCTCTGTGTGTACTATGGGAATCACTGTATTTTCCTGAAGGTCTTTTTTTTCCCATTGAATAAAATCAGAAGTAATTTACAGTGTGATGTCATTCTTTTTAGTAGTTTTTAATTCAATTTAAAAAATGCTACTGCAAGGAAAGTACTGATTAGCTAAGTCTCCTGTACAATGGTCATGTGCACTGTCAAGTTTCTTTGAGGTTAAATAAAGCATGGGCTTGCATGTAAAAGGACATCATGGTGGATGTAGTAAAACTGATGCAATATGTTTTGCTTCCCATCAACAATATGAACGGACCTATTCCTTAGCCTGACGGTAATAACCTATTATAAAACTTAGTTGTACCGCCCCATACTCATTTATTCTAGCACATGCCTGAGTATTAGTGTAAAATACCTAGTAAATAAACTAACTAGTTCAATGCCAGAAGATCTCTCTAATGAAATACATCAATATTCCAGAAAAACTGCTCTGCTAACCTCCCTCGTTAAATCTGAATTATCGTACTCTGCGTTATTTATTTAAACCACAAGATGGCGCCGTTGTACTTCCCGGCCCTTCTCACGTCACTTCCAAGCATATTGGTTTGGTAAAGCCTGCATTGATACATCACAATATACTTTCCTCTTAACGGGAAATCGAGCCTTAAATGTTTTATCTTTATTAGAGACTGTCGACCAAATAGGAAATATATTGCAAGGGAGGTCTTACGGTTATGTGGATATAACTTCCAAGTCCCCGCCCGCTTGTATCACATCACACACCCAACTAAAGCCTAGTTTATGCTTCTGCGTCACGCGTAGCAGCCCCGGGGCCTGAACCACCAACCTTGTGGTTCCCAGCTCACCCTCTCTACTCCATGCGGCAGTCACATTTCAATTAGAGTTAATTTAAGTGTCGCAAATGAATCTGATCTTGACACTGAATAATGACTCCAGCTATTTCGTACAATTGACTAAGAGTTGATTCAACTTTATGCAGTGTGATTTCAACTCTGCACTTCAACACTTGTCATGACCGAAAGAACTAGGTCACGGGTACAAGCGGCCGAAATGGGTTTCCTCAGGAGAGTGGCTGGCGTCTCCCTTAGAGATCGGGTAAGGAGATCAGAGTAGAGCCGCTGCTCCTTTGCGTCGAAAAAGAGCCAGTTGAGGTGGTTTGGGCATCTGGTGAGGGCGCCTCCCCATATTGTAGTTTTGTTGTTGGGTGGAGCAAGCTGTTGGGGTCTGTACAGGAGTTGAGAACTAGAGCAGCGTAGTCCTGGTCCACAAGCTTCAGCATGTCTTTCTGCTCACGGTGTTTGTTGAGCAGCTGGTCGATAACTGCCAGCGACGGCGGATGTGGGGTTTCTACAGGAACAAAAGACGAAGTACAATTCTTCTAGTCATTCTGACCTATAGAATCAAATACTTGTATAATAAATATAAACTTTCATTAAAAGCTCATGAAAGACTGTAATTTGTATGTAAATGTTTACACCCTAAATATATTTTCACATCTTGTAAAAAAATGGAAAAGTGACACAAATGTATGGAGAAAACTGGAACAACCTTGATGGTGCCGGTGAGGATGACAGAGGAACCTCCGACTGGGTAGCGAGTGGATCACTTTGAGGAGGTGGATTCGGGGCCTGGGTGTGATCTGTCTTGCTGTTGTGCTTGTCCCAGTCCAGAGGAACTGAGCAAAGGAACTGTACAGGGCGTGATGCTCCGACACACACTCACGGAGGAACCACCTCATGCAGTGAAACAAGTCCAGCTTGATATTAATGTTTGCATTAAAATGTGATCTTGAAGCACATGTGTTTCGGAGGTTACCAGAAGTGACATTGGCAATCTGTTGTTCTCCAAGAATCCCATTTCAGATGTTCTCCTGCAGACGACTCTGCCACCTTGAGTGCAACACAGCAATCCCTGAAAGAAAAAATAAAAGGAAAGCCACCAATGTGACAGCCGTCATATAGACCACCATGTGTGCTCCAGTGGATATGGTCATCAAAATAAAATGGAATGCAAAGGGCTTTTCTTTAATGAAACTGAAAACAATGAAAAGTAGTCTAAGTTGTGACTATGAGCTGTTTGTGTCACCAATGATGGTCAAAAATATTGCTATTATTTACCTGTCTACCCACTGTTATTGTGCCCTTTCTATGCCTGCGTTTGAGTTTGCTACTCAGTGGTTGCTAATCACTGCTAATATCCTACTTTATTTGATAATTAAAGAAAATCAACAGATGAATTACCTTCTCTAATTTTTTATAAGAGAAAAAAAAATCTTGGTCACAAATATGATTTTCTATCAACAATGCAAGAACCAATGCAGCTTGCATTTCAACGCAATATGGAAGTAGCCTATGTAAAAAAAAAATTAAACAGATTAATTTTTCTTTTAAATTAAGAAAAAGCTGCTCCTAGTCTCAGACCGGTCCGTATTTGTAAAATACCGGAAAAAAGTCCAAATCTGTGAATATCTTGCCAACTTTCAATACGGATCGACTTTTTGGAAAATCAAAATAATGAGGTAAGATATGCGCAGGCTCCTCCATAGTTCGGTAAAGTTGGCAAGATATTCAGATTCAGACTGACAGACTGGTCTGCGAGCTGGACGCATTGCTCTTAATGTGCCGGTAATGATGGTAAATGATGGTTATAGCTGGTTGTCATCTACGGTCCACTACGGTTACCGAAGGGGGGCGTTTGTTTTTTGACAACGTTTTATCTCATAATTTCGTCTTTTTATCCCCTTTCTTTAGTGCTTGCATCACTCCAGGCAATCCAAAGACGGGGTTTGTAACCAATCAGATGTAGAGACCATGGTGACTGGCTCCGCCCCCTTACTGTCAAAAAGAAAAACAGCGAGAGCGCATAGAAAACACCTTAGCGCGAGCGGAGAATAACCTCGCGAGCGAGGAAGTTCACGCTCCGCGAGCGAGCAAATATCTCGCGCGAGATGAACTTTTGCTCGCGCGAGACGGACTTTTTTTTTTTTTTTAATTCCGATTATTAACTCTTCTGAATCAGACCCAATCGTTCTAGAGAGAATCGAGAGAAATCGAAAAAACGAAAAAAAAAAATCCCCCACCCCTAATATGCAACTAGTAATTAATGCAGTCAAACACACGTGAACACAACTATAAACAACTATAAACTATAAACATGTGGCGTGACACCAAACATAAATGCATTTATAGACATGACACTTGTACTAAAGTACAGTATTTATGGCTAACAACGTTTATAGTTTACTATTCTCAGTAAGTAAATAATATGTATACAGAGTATAATGTAATATACAATATATTATTAGCATTATAAATATACAGGGTACAGTGTAACATATACTATATTGTTAGTATTTACAGCTAAAGACATGTATAGCTGGCTGTTCTCTAAGTACGTTTACAGTATATAATGTTTAAACAGTATAAGATGAACAGCTAGTCAGAATCTGTGTTAAATGACGTGCAACAGCAAACGCTGCATATTTATCTGAATAATTATTACACATTATAGGTCATTGACTTACTGTTTAGTGACTTCCTCACAGCCCGAGGTCCGACGAAGGTGCACCGTCGCTTCGGTGCTTTTTCCCGGGTAGACTGACAGAGAATGTCCGAAGAAACGCTTTACATCCGGGTAAACGTTCAGTCCGCAACAACGCAACAGCGCCACCGGTGGCCAAAGATATATTACATCCGTAGTGGTTTAGCATTACCATGGAGAATGAATGGGTTTTGGTTTAGGGATTTTAGCTAGGCACGGGTGACGCGCGGGAGGCCGGGGTTCGATTCCCGGCCAATGCAACACCCTTTTCATTTTTCCATATACATAAAAATCACACAGATTATTCTATATATCTGTTTTGAAACTGGGGGAGATTGAAAAAAGAGAGATAATCTGTCCTATTCTCAGTTTGGCAATTCTTTATTCCCTTATATACAAACACAAACAAATGCTTACATTTATCTGTATTGACAACTTTGAGGGAATTGAACAAAGTGCGATCATCCGAGTAAACCAAATCAAGATAATCTGTGATAAATGACGCCCCTTTTATTGCGATATGGTAATGAAGGCTAAATTACATGTTTAGAATGGACATTCACAGGGCTGTTAGGGAGGGTAAACGCATGTAAACGCCGTTTACGCACCTCTGGAATTTTGGAAATAGCGTTTACGCATCTATAAGTAGCGTTTACGCACCTCTAAGTGGCGTTTACGCACCTGAAAGTTCCCTGCGCCTTGTATTCTTCCATTGGAATAATCCGAAATAAACTTGGTGTAATTTTAAAACAGCTAAGACTACGTTTCCTATTGTTGAACATATAAACGCCGTAGTCTGAATCATGTTCATCTGCGCTGTATTACGGTCTGTGAGCATCCAATCAGTGCCTTGCGGCTGCAGCAGCGACACCAATCAGGATCCAGGAGGTGTGTAAACACACACACGATGCCACACGTGGATCAGCCCAGGATCAGTCCGACGGGGCGGGGGGGGTAGTAGTCGTTGCGGGCGGAACGACCGACGGGGGGGCGGGTGTAGTAGTCGCGCGCTCTGTGTTCGCTGGTCGTGCACGGTAAAAGGACAAGAAAAACTCCTGGTGACGCGTAGATTAGAAAACAAGTCAGTTCTCAATGTGAAAAAAAAACATGCTGTATAGGCTATTTATGATGACATAGGTAGTACATGAGTGTTCCTTTAACTCATGTTGTCAGTGTAATTGACAGGCTGCTTAACTGGTTAACTCTTAAATTCAACATATTTTTTCAGGCAGTGAGAGGACAGGCAATGATGCAGAGAGCACAGGGAGAGGAGAAACACCAGGTCCAATAGAGAGAGGAGAAGCACAGAGGAGCCATGAACCCCAGATCGCTCCTCTGTGCAAGACAGGACCTGATGTGGAGGACAAGGAGGCCCTCTGGGCACTACTGTAAAAAGGAGACTCCGTATGTAGATAGTTCTTAATCTGCAATTGTGTTGTTGTGTTGTGTTGACATACTTTTCTTCACTGTTTTCTTAGATTTAATAAACTACAAACTACTAACACATTTATTCATTGTCATTGATTGTATATGACT